CGGTTACGAAGCATACTTTCGCAGCAAAATGCATTGCAATTTTTTGGACGCGTGTCGCGCCGAATGATTCTTCCTTTTAAGTCCACGGACAACAGAGAACGCGGAGATTGCTTTTAAAGCAAGATTAATCGCTGGAAACGTTTTGGAAGCTTGGTCTGTCGATACAATTCGATTAGCGGCTGAAAGATTAATCGCGCGAAAGTCTAATTCGAGTAAACGTATAAAAGATAGAAAATTGGAGAACAGAGAATTGTGTGCGAATAAAATTGATCGATCGGTCAATAACGTGGCGTATTGAGACGTATTAAGAAAAAAATTCGCTGAATAAAATTACTCCGCCTCGATGAAATTACTCCGCCAGGTTTCCACAAAAGTTTCACCCGCGAGACACGCGGGTTCGAGGTGTCGCGTGACAGCCGGGCGTCGTGTCGTTCCCTTTGGCGTTATTAAACGCTAGGTGCATAAATAAGGATATCGTAAATCATCGGGCAGAATTTTAGATAGGAGAAAAACGCTGGGTTTCGAGCTATCATTTGAATAAACTTTTGCGGAAGACTTTAAGTCCGAGTTTTATTTAGCGGTTAGATCGAATCAGGGTTTTTTTAACGGCCTTTTTAATTCCCCTCCAGCGAAGGGGAAGCCAATTTTTTTAATCGTTTCCTTTCCTCGATGCATGAAAACAAGAATTTCCCTCGTTTCGAATATTCCTCTGTTTTCCACGGATATCTTTCGTACATACGTTGGGCCGTGATCTACGGGTTATTACATTTACAGGCGAGCGTTTCGGCGGCCGTCTGAAATCGCCGTGAATTATTTGATCTGACCCGAGGCGCGTGGCTACACGTAACAATAACGATAAATTTTGCATATCGTGGAATGTAAATACAACTATGTTTGAAGGTGTTAAATCGTGTAGATGAACCTGACTCGTATCTAAGCATGCACGATAGAACTGCTTCACGAAACAGGTAGAGTTTCATTAGGAATTCATAATCTTTTCTTCTCCGGCTGGGTAAACTCACACGTTTCGAAATATCTCGCGATCAATCGTTGCAAATGAACTTTGAAATTGATCGTTCAATCCACTTCCGAGGTGTTTCCGCTATCTCTCTTACTCTGTCATGTAAAATAACTATCGAAAGACACTACTCAATCACAGTTCAATAAGCGTGCACATGGATTACTACTTTTGGCTTATACTTTCTTGTAAATACGTAAGGGGAGCTAATCTGTTGTCTTCGCTGATCTATCGGAATAACGTTTATAACATCGGTATGCAAACGCGTTGCAGAAACCGAGGGAACAAACAAAAAAAAAAAAAAAAAAAAACGAGAGTTCATCGAAATTGAAATTTTAACGCAGTACCAGAAACGAGATTAGAGCTCTCTTTGTAACGCGTAAAACAGTCATTAAACCGACGCGGAGTCTATCAAAAGTTCTATGCATAGATTATACGCGTTTCTTCGCGATGTGAGGAGGCAATTGGACAGGAAGCGGCCGTGAAAACGTAAAAAAAAAAAGAAAGAAAAAGAGATAGCTGAACATCGTTTGATACGTCGCGCCGGCGGCCTTTTTTTCGCGGTTGAAACTCCTTTTTCGTGCGCCGAAACGTCGGCCCGGCGAAAAAATAACAGTGGTTGGCCCAGATAAATAACGGGGCAAGCCGCGAACGGGTCGAAATGTATTAAATCCGTAGCCGGCCCACGCGAGTCGGAAGGCCCGTCTGAATCATCGTGAAATTGATGATTAAAGCACGACCACCACCAAGCAGAACGGAATCGCGCGCGATATACCGCAGGCATAACGCGCGGCGACTCCCATGCCAGGCCAGGCCAGGCCAGATGGAAACGAACGATGAAAGCGAGAAGGGGGCGGGAGAGGGCTATAAGAGGGGTCGAAAGAAACCGAAGGCCTTAATAACGTGCGGCGCAACATCCGCGAAATGGCGATTTTTCGTGTTCACTCGTAGTTTATCCGTCTGAAATTACGTTTACCCTCGCCGGTGGTGGTTCTATTCGGTGGCGGGTGGCGCGCGTGCGAGGAGGACGATCCCCGACGAAAAAAGGGAGCGACGTCACCGGGACACGAAACGACGTCGCGTTATTAGCCGCGTTCAAAATACAATACTTTTCACTCTTGTAATTTTCTTTCTTTTCCACTCTGGTTTATCATCGGGCGCGCGTTCAACGAATTTAGAGAAGTGTAACGAAACGGATGTAAGCGTGAGTGAAAGAGGTGGCGCGCGCCACTCGGGTAAAAAATCGCAAATCAAGCCGGATTTTGTCGATAACAGGAACGTCTAGCTCCCGTTTTCTTCTCCCGTAACATAGTAATCTACGAACGGGGGCCAATTACGCGAAGTAACCAGAAGTTCCCAGTAGCCTGTCGATACACGCCACTCGAATCACGACAAATTGACGTGGCCGGAACCCTTGCAAAGTCAACGGGAATCCCGCCCTTTCGGTTCGCGTCGATCGATTGTCGTCGTGTCAGCCGCGCGAATTAAATCCTTCTACGCTCCAAAGGAATGTTTTTCTTTTCACTTTCCTGTTTTGCTCGTTCGTCGTTCGTTCGCACGCGGAGATTCGCGTGTTTGAGTCCCGATTGAACGAACGGGGGGAAAAAATTGTTTCGAGACGATTGGAAGGATCGGGGAGCGAGGAAGTTTCGGCTGAAATTTCCACGCGGTGAAAACAGAGGCCGGTTAATCCTCCGAAATAGTGGCTGCCACCGATAACAAGTCGTGTGTGGGCTTTGCACCTGCACACCGCTCCGCCTGGCCAACAATGGGCCGTGCACTCGCTTTAATGGCTCGCCCCCTCCCGATCGAGATTAAACCGTGCACACTTTGCCGATTCTAAGGCGGACCCCGCGTACGTGTATTATGCGGAAAGGAAGCGGCGTTGGCCGGGTCGAAGCGACGAGTTCACCAACGAACCGCTGGGTGTTTCTGTTTGATCGCGGTGAATGTGGGAAATTGGCTACGTTCACGTTTATTGTGGAATATAGCATGCACCGTGAGAATCTCGCGAGAGAAATTGAAAAGAGTTATTTACACAGCGCACAGTGGTAATATTAGTGCTCGAGATGGAGTAAATACGTCATGAAATATGGTCTATTTATCTTCTAAACAAATTAAAATGCCCTCGGAATAAATATTCAAGTATTCCATCGGCGGAGAAACTCGCGGATATCTTTAAACAAGTTCCCCGCGAATGTTTAACTTAACTTGCTCCGAGAAAGATTGGAAAAATGAGCAGGAAAATTAATACTCGACCTCGTACGGAAATGCAGTCGGAATACAAACTGCACGAAGCATTAATTAATAGGCGTAACTGATCATTAAGTCGGGGCGCGCTTCCGCGTTATTGATCGGTTCGTTACGACGGCTTCGTTTTCTCTCTGTTCTCCGTGTTTCTTCTCGCGTCAACGAGATTTTTCTGATAACATTGAAAAGCGGGATCGGCAGCCCCTCGTTTCGTACGAAGTGGCGGAAGGTCGCATTTAATTCATCGATTTATTTTTAATGGAACGATTTTGTTTTAAGAGGCGAAAGCTGCTTTCGCCGTTAAGACGATTACAGTTCACTTTAAATCAAACGACCAGCGAGCCACGCGAACAACGAAACATTGTCCGGATTAGAATCGAGCGAAAGCATCTTTGAAGTGATTGAAGATTTGGAAATAAGTAGAAAACTCGGCGGAGAAACACAGCCTCACTGCGCGTTGTCGTCTAATCCGGCAATAAGGTACCCTCTAACGAAGAAGGCTCTCATAAAATATTGCTCGGAAAGAGGGGGGATCGGAATTCCTCTCGAAAGTTTTTGCTATTTGGTGAGATCGATACTTTCGAGCGTGCTCGAGAATAAAATGCCACGAAAAATGCCACCTAATTCTGCTTGACACGGTGGTTTCGATTTAATCGGTGATTCTATATTGCAATATTGAACGACGAGGTAATAAAAAAAAAAAAAAGAAGAACATCTCACTTAGAAAGATTTCTAAGCGCGCTTAAGTTTAGACTTCAAATTTTCTGCATGACACTCGTATCTTTCTGCACACATCGCGTGTACCATTAACATGAAATAATTGCGCGCACAACGTTGCGAGTACGAGTCCATCCGCTCTACCACGATCGCATACTGCGCTTTTAGAACTACTGCAAACCTCTGTTTCTACTAACTCATTGTTCTGTTGTCATTTGCTAACACGCGTACCTCGCGAATGTCGAACATCTGTTGCTACTAACACCCTCCCAGAATGCTGTCCGCGACGCGTTTGGAAATAACAAAATACAAAATCGAACGAGACAGTGTAACGCTTGATTTGCAAGCGTTCTCTGTTCTCTCGGTTGTAAATACCATTCGGAGTTTTCGTAATTCGAGCTGCGAGTCAAAGGAACGTTGAGGCAGACCTGCTCGCACAGTTCATCGACGCCATTGATTCTCGTTAAAGAAATCCATTTCATCGAATCTTCGTGACCTGTCATTGCCCCCTAGGGTGACACTTTTGCTCACGTGACGATTGCAGGTGCAATTATCGTAATTCCTGTTCAGTGGACGTACGCAGCGAGATTTTCGAGGAGGACCCGTGTCCCGGAACCGGAAAGTACATCGAGGCGCAGTACTATTGCCTAGGTTGGTGCACACTTTTCTTTTCGACCGATGAACATTCTTCTTCGGTCGACGACGAGAGCTCACGACTTTTTCCAAGATTCGACGCAAGATTCCACGTAACGTCGTTACAAGAATTGAAAATTACAAAGGGTTCGGTTATGTTGAAAAAGTTATTAAAATACATCTTGGAGAAAGGCATGAGCCTCGCTGAAGGAGGCGTAAAGAAGGGACGAAAGGTGGGAATTTCGTCGAAAAAGTCTCTCTATTCGCGTATCCCCTCCATTCGAGCATCCATGACGGTAAGAGAAAAGGGACAGGATCCATGGTTCAGTACACTTTGGTAAGGGTGTACGTTTGTCATGTTAACCGACCAATCGCAACCCAGGTGCAACGACCAGCAGAACTGCAGCATTGTTGCATCGACGCTGCAATTCGGCGATCCCTGTCCCAACACGCACAAGTACCTCGAGGCGCATTATCGTTGCCTGTCCGGTAAGTAAGACTCCGCCATTTTTGTACGCGCCCTTCCCTTCGTAATATCTCTGTACCCTGTATCGTTTATTCTACGAGCGGTCTTCCGTAGATACGGCGAACGATTGCATAGGCGTCGACTTCGCGGTCATTTCCAGTATATATAATACCTTTCCAAGATCGTAGGAGAAATCTTCCACTAACCACTAGAATCACTCGCTTTTTCTATATCGTTTGCGGTACCTTATTTTCATTCTGAATAATTATTCACTTAATTCTTATTTGAACGTTATTACGACGCGTTGCGTCAATAACTCACAAAGCGTTCGTTAAACTAATTAAATCAATCGATCGTTCGTTACGATGTATTGTAAAGTAATTCCAAGAACTATTCGTCACAGAGAGAAAGAATTTTTTGCTCTTTTAAATCCATTCTCTGAAATCAGTTGATATTTTTGAAACAAGTAAAACCATTGACTCTCTCTTTTTATATTTGATATTGATATTGATCGTGCGAAAAAACCAATCGCCTATTTTTTTTTTTTTTTTTCTTTTTACCTATGCAATTCCAAGAAACGATCGTACGCGCCTGGAGGATTCTCGCGTTCCAACGCTCGACATTCACTTTTTTTTACTTTTATCGGGATACATATCGCGAACGGCTAAAAAGCTAATACGACTGACCGCGAGAATCGATTAGAATTTCCCGAAGCCGGCGCTTATGATTCACGTTGCCCACGTAACTGCGAGCCCGTGTCCCGATAAAGATCTTCCAGCGGCTTGCATCGGCTATGCGCTCTCCAGACAGACGGAGTATAAAGTAGAGAAAAGAAAAGATCGCGCAAGGAGAAGAGAACGATAGTGAGAGAGGAAGAAGAGGAGAGATGGAAGAGTTCGCGAAGACGTGATCTTTGCGATCGAGAAATCGATCGTAGGGATCGGTAACGCGGTGGTACACGCGGCTGCACATCCAACTTTTCTGACGTGTTTCGTATCGTAATGAAACTCTTCTACAGTCCAATAAGAGGAAACGGCAGACAGAGAGAGAGAGAGAGAGAAAGAGAGAGAGTAAGAAAAGCAGGAAAGATTACTGCAAGCATCGATCGTTACGTTCGATGATGCTGCGATTCGACGATGACGAAACGCCGATCCGACTGCGAATCTGTATCAGGATCTTTTATTAATTTGCCTTTGATCAATTATCAGTACTCAATTCAATCTTGCTGTTAGCTATTTACATACGTCCAATAATAATAACGTAACGTAATTGTAATCAAAAATTGTAATTGTAAAACACAGGAATATCTTCATACTTTCGATCAGAAACGTGTCTCTGTTGACTCACACGTGAGTCAACGCTATAAAATGGCAACTTCAGTTGCCGCAGGTGCTAGTGTTCGATCACTTTACGATGTTCAAGGCAGACTTAACCAGTAGTGAACGAATAAAGACGACTTTCCCGACCTTTTGGCGTTACGATCTACCAAAACTACCAGACGACACAATCACTTATTGGACCATAAACTGTCAACCCTCTACTCTCTCTCTTTCTCTCTCTCTCTGTTTGTCTCTCGCGGTTTCCAAACGCATCGTTCTCGTCTGATCAATATCCAGGAGACTCGATAGATCGGTCTAACCGACGTGTATATTGAAGGGGGAGTAAAGGATCTGTTGGTAGCCCCGATACCACGAGCGAGAATGCTTCTCAACTTCTCTCTCGTTCGTCTCTCAGCGTGCATACGGGTGTCTCTCTCCTGCATAGCCGACTATCGTAACGGACATCGGCGACGTCCGGTATTTTACCTTATCGCCAACCCCTTCGGCCAATAAAGATGACCCCTATAGAGATAGTACCGCGAAATACGCGGACCATCCCGTTCAGGGATTAACTGCCGTCGCCATCTTGGGTTAAAGATCGTTTTCTCCTCTTAGGCCAGATATAGTCGCGATATCGGCCTTGAAGGTAGGCTAATCCTATCGCTCGCTTCGACTTCGCCGAGCGGCCGGCAGCTTTCGTTTTCGGGAATATTTCTGTCGCGATCGATACACAGTGTCGCGATTGTCCGGCCGATATATTGAACCATGAAGACCGAAGGATGTCAATGGAACGTGCACGTACATATATCCATACGTTCGAGATAATACGACAGAAATACTACAATGAGGTTCAACAGTCGTAGAGACTATAATCGTCAGTTTCCAAGAGCGGTTGTCGTTTATCTTTCTCTCGATCGCGGTCAATCAAATCGGTGTTTGCAAATTTTTAATTCAAAGTCGTTTGTTCGAGATGTAGTATATAGCTTCGGTAATATATTTCAAGAAATCGCTATCGCCGCAATTAATTTTTCTTCGTGGAAGATTAATTAATTAATCAATTTTTCGTCGGGATTAAAGAAGTTTTCACCGTGAGGTGGTAATTCCACGAGAAAACAAGTGTGACCGTTAGTTACTGGCACTAGGAGAGAGAAAACGTTTCAACGTAGAATCGGCGTGAAATCGATCCCCGCCCTCTGGCCTGCGATCAAGTTTAAAATGCCCCTGTCGTTTGAGCCGGGCCGAAAAGCTCGTCTGCCAAGAGCTCTGTCTTCGAGTTTCTCAAATCACTTTCCTTCTTAATTATACGCGGCGTTCGGATCCTATAAGCTCGTGGAGAAGAGCTCTTAAATGTCGCGAGAGTAACCCTCCCCCGAAAGTTAGCGCGTCTCTACTTTCCGCGTGTTTGCCATCAGCCCGTATTTCGTTCTTCCACCGTTCGTGTATCTCTCGTTCTCAACGAATTAAAACAAGCCCTTGACGAAACACTTGCAGCGGCAACAACCACGACAACGTCCCGTCCGAGTCCTCCGTGGATCATGGCTTCTCAGCCGAACGTTTGGAGCACGGCTAAGCCGACTGTCAGGCCTCCTTCGAGGATTACGACACCCCCGGCTCAACAGCCGCCGCAGCCGCCAGCACCGTCCAGCCCGGCGCTCCCAATAACCACCACGCCAAGGTCAGTACACTCTAGATAGCAGATTCTGCGTTTACAGGTTTTTTCGATTTGAATTGTAGAGCTAAAATAACGAGGATTTTCTTCTTTTTTCTTTTTTTTTTTCTTTTTTTTCTTTTTTGAACATTCAGCGGTCACGTGACTTTGTCACGATTAGAAAGACATCCCGTCGACGTTGACTAAAAAAACAACCTTATCGAAACGCTGCACTATTAAAAACAGCAGAATTTTATTACATTTTCTACGGCGGGGAAAAATATTTTCGTTACGTCGTGTTAACTGGGAGTGAGAGAGCGCGGGATGGGGCACCGTGCGTCGCTGAAAATTACAAATTCCGTTCCATTTTACAGCCCCACGTCAACGAGGTCGCCGGTCGATACGGAGGTCCTTGAAGTGGATCAAGACTTAATATCTCCTGCAAATGTTCCGTCTGCGAATGGACCAGCGGTGCCTCCGATCGTTCCTGAAACCACTCAGGCCACAACCACGTCGACCTTCGCTCCTTGGAGAACAAGTCGAAGGACCACTGGTAAGTTCTCGAGTGTTTCAGCGGTCCTCTCTTAAACGAGAGGAAAGCGTTGATGGCGTTTTGTTAAAGAAAATGTATCGTTTGTTTTATCATCGAGGTCGAAGGTCGACGCTCGAGAACTTTGACTTCGCGAAGAAAAGCTAATTCCTCTCCGGTGCAGTCGTCGCGCCCGCGCGTGCAAAGTCGAAAAGAGTGAGAACGATGAATTATTAATGTAATAGCCGATAATTTTGGTTTCTGAAACTAGATTCTTGTCTAATAAATTTGTAGCATCGTCGATCGACTATCTGTCAGAAACTCGAGAGTTCCAAGAATAGATAATAGATGAAAGTAACTTTGTAAAGATATCCGAAACTGCATAAATCGAGCTCTAGTTACCGAAGTCTCTTTTTCTCGCCAGTTACCTACTCCGATATTAATCATATCTCCCCACCAGAGTTGCTCCGACAGTGTAAACGTACAACCGCGTATTAAAGTAGCAGGCAAATACCTAGCAGGCAGTCGTATACCGTATAAATCGTATCAGTTAACCAACCTTCGACTTCGATGTAACTCGGCAACTCGTAACAATCACTGCAAAAGATTAAGACACCCTTGGGTATCCAAAATTCCATTTCCACCGACCCGATACGATGTTGCGCGCGAAGCTAAGCCCCGGTCCGCCGGGGACCGGACACTAGAATCACATTAAAGCCACGCCATTAACTAAAGCCAAGTAACAGGCCAACTAACGCTCGTGACTAACTCAAATATTCCAGTGCCGAGCACGCTCTACCCGGAGTCCAGCTCGAATGGCCAATGGTACGACTACGGTAGACAAGTGTGTCCCCCGGTGATAGCCAGGAACCTGTCGTGGAACACGACCAGAGCCGGCGACGTGGCTGTTCAGAGTTGTCCAGGCGGTGCCAACGGTTTGGCGCGCTGGAGATGCCTGGCCAGAGGGGACACGGCCTTCTGGCATCGAGACAGTCCAGATCTGAGCGAGTGCCGCTCCGTTTGGCTCACCACGCTCGAGAACAGGGTAACGGAAGGAGACGTGATCCTCGGAATCAGCCGGGAGTTATCGCAGGTGACGAACAACAGCAGGGGCCTGTACGGTGGTGACATGATGATCACGACCAAGATCATCAAGAACATGGCGGAGAAGATGGCGCAGGATATAAGGACGTACCAGGACGCGAATCAGAGGGAGGTCAGCGTAACCGAGCTGCTGCAAGGTGTCGTGAGAACGGGGAGCAATCTACTGGACAAGGCGCAAATGGCATCCTGGAAGGATCTTAGCCATCAGGAGCAGATGAGAGTCGCGACCTCCTTATTGATCGGGCTCGAGGAGAACGCGTTTTTGTTGGCCGACACGCTGATGCACGAGAAAACGATCACTCACGAGGGAAGGAACATACGTGAGTATTGTTGCATGCTACCTGTTGTATACGTATGTATACTTTGAACTTGTTGAATAAGCGCGGCAAACTGAATGTTTCGCGGTCTGTTTGAAAGCGGCGTAATTACAGAAATGCGAAGCAGCGACGCGTAATCTCGAATTAGTTGGAATTGCGTCGTGGCGCGCGAAGCGCGTCGATTGGAAAAATTAGCCGCGGACTAATTTAGATGGTGGATGATAGGACACGGGAGAAAGGACGGCGAACCGTGATGAGTAAAAAGGAGTGGCAGAGACGGGTATAACGAATTAACGTTGAGTCGTCTAGCACAATGGACATGCAAGTATCGTAGGTCTGACTTTAGCATCGGGTCGCATAAATCTAGATCCCTTATCTGCGGAATGCGACGCTGGTAATATCCGGCGTAGATAAAACAAAGATCCAAACCCATCGTAATTCTCCGGTACCTAGCTGGATAATGTTGTAACCCGAGCTTTACCTTTCTCTCTTACCCGGCATTAACACAACAAAACCCCGAGAAAATTACGAGCAATTTGATTTACTTCCTGAAAGTAACGTAGGTAACGCGCGGTCGTGATTGAGGCTGGAAGCAAGTTTCTGAGTCGCGGCCGAACGAAGTAGCACCAACATTAGATCCGCACGTGATAAATAGCATAACAGTAAAGGGCAAAAAGAAGATGAGTTTGATGAGCGACAGCCGGCCGGATGCCATGTAACATAATATTCCGTCGTCTATCCGTGTTCTTTCTTCCGTGCTAACAGAAAACTAGCTACCACTATCGCCGAGCGAGTCCCTCGAATTTTTCTTGTCAGACGGCGACGTCACGGCAGATCGAACGGAATATACGACGAGGGGTGCACCGTGACAACACCTAGGAAAAAATGGCCGACAGAAAAGTTACGCGCGTTTAATTTCATTGTTCGCCCGTGAAGATGAGTCGAGCAACTGTACTTTTATGATCGCGGAATTGACGAACGTTACGAAGTTCGGTTAACTTCAAGCTATCCTGTCAGGGTCTCAACACCTTTCTCCCCAAAGATATAAATTTTATTTCGATACGCGCGCTTCCACGGAAGAAACGTACATGTTTGAACGTCTTTCTACAATGTTGCGTCACAAAGTTGAAGGCCAAGATTATAACGAAATGATTGATACTGAGAATAAACCAAGTCTCCAAGATTTAAAACGCCAATCGAAGTGAAAGAATTCTTCAGCATTTTCTGTTGGATTTAAAACGTATCCTCGATTCTTTCCGATAATATCTTTTGATACTCGTAATTCGACAGATATTATTAATATTGTTTTTCTTAAAACAGTGATGGAGGTACGCGTACTGGATGCCCGGAATATCGGCGATGATCTAGAGGTGTTCCCAACGGAGGCAGCTCAACAGAGGTGGACAGCTTCGAACGATCGTGTCGAGTTAACCAGAGGAGCTTTGCTGGAGAACAGCGAGGGTGGTATTGTCCGTTTGGTCTTCATGGCCTTTGACAGGCTCGAGGAGATCTTGCAGCCGCAAGCCGAGGTATCATCGCTAGTCATGAACGACGATCCGCAACCACTGCCGAAAAGGAACACGACCAGGCTTCTAAATAGCAAAGTGATCTCCGCGTCTTTGGGTAAAGGAAGACACATACAACTCAGCGAACCTGTCAAAGTCTATTTCAAGCATCTATCCATTGAGAATGTCACCAATCCGACTTGTGTATTCTGGGATTACATCTTGAGGTAAGTTTCCTCTTCTGATTACATTCATCATTCATTTTTGTTAATTCAAGCCTTCGATCGTGTTCTATTCTAAAATTATATTCGATTCGATGATAATTTCATTTCTTTAGGACAATAAAGATAACGTTTGTTCTACTAATTCTACTGGTTCTAATCACCGTTTCAGTGCTTGGTCAGAGGAAGGTTGCGAGATACGAAAAACCAACGAGACTCACACAGTATGCGAGTGCAATCATCTTACAAATTTCGCTGTTCTGATGGACGTGCACGCCGTCCGACTAGATATCGCTCATCAAGTCGCGTTGCAGATCATCACCTATATCGGCTGCATCATTTCCGTAGTTTGCCTGGTTCTAGCAATTCTGACCTTCCAATTATTTCGTGGACTAAAGGTAATCATTCCATGGTGAATTTTGCATCGATCGCAACGTGCGAAAACTCCATTTGTATCGATCGAACCTCTACCGAAGATCCTCTACATTTCACGCCATTTTATTGCAGTCGGATAGAACAACCATCCACAAGAATCTCTGTGTGTGCTTGCTGATCGCGGAAATTTTATTCGTTTGCGGAATCGGACAAACGAACCAGAGAATTGTCTGCGGCATCGTCGCTGGATTGTTGCACTTCTTTTTTCTTTGCGCATTCGCCTGGATGTTCCTCGAAGGTATCACTCGAAGACAATACAATACTCGCGAACAGCAAATAGGAAGTTCCAACGAAACGTGAAACAAGAGCTTGACTCTCTTTCGATTTTCTTGCAGGATTTCAATTATACGTCATGCTGATCGAGGTGTTCGAAGCGGAAAAGTCAAGGCTACGCTGGTATTACCTGGTCGCTTATGGTGCTCCGTTGTTGGTCGTTGCGATTTCTTGTATAATCGATCCTCTCAGTTACGGTACCGATCGATATTGCTGGCTACGCGCGGACAACTACTTCATCTTCAGCTTCGTTGGACCAGTGATACTTGTTATACTGGTAAGATGACTGTTTACGAGAAAAATACGAGATAAACTGTGATCGATTCACGTATCGTATCGTATATTGCATTAACATGGTAATATTTTTAAAGCATCGAGTGTTTCGATGAAACGTAAAACCGTATGAATACTTGATGTACCTATCTATATTCCATCCTTGGGGTAAGCTCGATACAAAAGCTGTTATCCGATTTTCTTGGTTAGGCAAACTTGGTATTCCTGTCGATGGCGATTTATATGATGTGCCGACACGCAAACACCACCGTAGCGATGAAGAGTAAGGAGCACTCTCGATTGGCCAGCGCAAGGTAAGCCTAGAAATTCCGGTGTTTGTTGTTCGTACACGTACAAGAAACGTAACAACGAATTTGTATATACATATATATATTACGTATCTCTATATTAAAGTAATCGATCGAGTCCGTCCGTTAATACGTTTCGAGATACATCAATCCTATCGTCGAGTAGAATCGAAATGTTTGTTTGGTGCTTTCGGTTCACGTTCGCAAGCTTTACTTGCTTAAAGATATCTCCCGAAAGAGAGTCTTTTATTGTCACGCATCTTTTTGGCGGCCATGCTGAGTTCTTTTCGTTTCTATATATACATATATATATTTCCGTTTTATTAATTTACTGTGTTGGAATGACCGCAAGATTTCCGTTCGTTCGACACACCACTTGTATTGCTGTAATTCTTAGGTACTATATATGGATATGGTTCTACGTATATATTTTACGTATATATATATATTATATATACATATATATTTATATTATATACATGTATCTATGATTTGATAACGTAAACATTATACGTGATTACAAATGCCGTCACAGTCGAGTCATGCTTCAACGAGAAATTGGACGCACGAACAATCGAACGAGTACGATGATAATTAGCCTGCGCTCTGTGTTTTCTGTGATTTAAATGAAACGAGCAAAAATACGTCGAATGAAGAGAGATAGATAGTAATAACGACAACGGTGTCAACTTGATAAATTTCTGTATGGAAATGCTGGTGATGGTGGTTAAATTCTCGTGCAAACTCGACTCGTTTTATTATCGAAGTTGCTTTATCGTAAAAATAAAAATCATCCTCTCTCTTTGTTTTCCTTTTTTTTTTTTTTTTTTTTTGTTCCAATCATTTTACCTTCCTTTGGTATTTCATTTTCATTGTTTTTGTTTCAAATAATTCAAACGTAATTAAATGTTCTCGTGTGAACGTTCCTCCTGTTGTGTACTAACGCAATGATATAACGCATAGTAATACGAATCGAGTATTGCACCAGCGAAACTATACTTTATTTTTTTTTTTTTTTTTTGAAATAATCAATTAATTTAAATGGTGCCGGAACAATCACCTAACTTTGCTGTCTTGTTTCATTTTTGTATTAAATCTTCTACCCACTTCTGTCTACACTGTTCTACATTCTTCTGCATGGCGTGGTTGGTTGGTAGTGGAAAGGAAGAGAATGCTCTTCCCAACAAATTGCAAGCGCACTTGTAAGATATTTACCAATTTTTATTATTATGTACTCACATCTCGTTCATTCACTATAACATTATTCTATTACTAATCGCCGTTTCCCGTGCCTTTAATTTCACCGTTCTCTCATTTAACACATTCACTGTTCTTTCTTTGTTTCTGTTTCATTGTTCATTCGAAGCAACTTAACACGATAATCGTCACTTCATTTTCTCTTTTTTCTCTCTTATTCTTTCATTTCTTGCGAATGTAGAACGTAGAACGTAGCAGTCTGTTTCGCGAGGAAAATAAATTATGCTGTTCGTTTAATCAAACAAATCATTGATCCGTGCAACTCACTGGAATCGCAAATGTCATTATTGCCATTGTTATATTATTTTCGTATTGATTGAAACAAGCCTGAGCAATTTGCAATTACCAACAGCTTACGTAGCGAGGTGTATTCATGATAATGCTTGACAGAGAGCACACGTGACGACGATCGATATTCTCCGAACTCCTTAGTTACGTCACGCCGTTTGCCTTTCCTCTGAGTACATACGACAACTTAAACCGCATGCCGTATTTATCCTTTAGTTTCGGGTATAAACGCCTGATTTGAGAGTAGCTTAGTGAATACGCGCGAGATTAGAAGTAATAAACACCTGCCTACTTGTGTAGTTCGTGTACCCTCGATCCTCCCGTAGATCCGTAGTCTTGATCGTTTCCAGTAAATCAACAAAAAAAAAAAAAAAAAAAAAAAAAAAAAAAAAAAAACTAAAAAACAAAAGAAAAGGAAAGGAAAGAAAAGAAAAAAAAAGAAAGACGTGAAAATAGTAAGAAACGTCGATACGAGGAAAAAGAAGGAAAGAAGTAAGAAACAGTAACAGTGTGTGCGATGCTTATAGGACGCCGGCCGCTTTCGAGACTCGCGAGAACGTTAACGATGCTAATGCTTCGTTGGAGAGTGTGTACGCGACACGTGCACACGTGTAGAAACGAGCAACATTAGTAGTACACGTTAGCATCGCGCAGCTCGAAATGTTGCGTGCACTTCGGTGCATAACGCCGTCCCCTGATAATCTTCCGTGTTCTCGCCGCTCCATTTTGATAAGAACGTGACAAATGTAGCATTGGAATTATTAGAATTAAAGTCACACCATCATCGATCACTTAGCACGTTACCCTTAATTCTTGCGATGGCACGAAACTAAAAATCGTTTCCTTTCACCTCTTCACTTCCCTCTTCCTCTCTCTCTCTTTCTCTCTCTCTCTCTCTCTCTTTCTCTTTCGTCGTTACCATTTTTTTCTTATATTTTTTCTCTTTCTCTCTCTCTCTCTCTCTCTCTCTCTCTCTCTCTCTCTCTGGTTACTCTGTACTTTATCCGTTCACTTTTCATGCCGATAACTTCACGTTCACGTTCCTTTAAGCATCGCTCGCGATTATCTTATCCTTGAGAATGTTAGCTTCAGTGTGACTCATCGATTGATATTTTCTGATCAGGGCATGGCTGAGAGGAGCGATCGTCCTGGTCTTTCTACTGGGACTCACATGGACCTTCGGGCTTCTCTACTTGAACCAAGAATCAGTCGTGATGGCGTACATCTTCACCATATTGAATAGTCTGCAGGGGCTGTTTATCTTTGTGTTCCATTGCGTTCAGAACGAGAAGGTAAGGGAATACGTCGGGGTCCAAACGTCCACCTTACTTTAAACTATCTGGTGTTGTTAACGCGCATGTTCAACGATGAATCATTCTTCATTTTCTCATCTTTCGTCGTGCATTCTTATCGTCAATGAAACCAACATGAAATTCGAGTGGCATCCTAAATAAGAATTAGCATTGCGAGAAAATGTTACGAGTTGTTTATGATATTATTATTATTATTATTATTATTATTATCATTATTATTGTTTACGAAAGAAGCAGCAAAACTCGGTGGATTATATTGCGTGTATTTTTCAATTTTGTATCGAGCAGTCGCGAAACATTATTTCGAGGAGCAGGAACTTATGTCAACGCGAAGTTCAAACGAAAGTGAATTCAGTCGTCGAATCGGAACTTTATATAATGAAAATTGTAAAACCGTTTCTGTCGTGTAAGGTTTATAGTTAACACAATTATTCACGAGTCAAGGATCTTGTAACATAAGAATTCGATGCACCATGTACGAAAAAGCGGATTCTTCGTATTATATACATAAGTAGCAAGTAACTCCATAAGCAAGAGGATCATTTGAGAGGAATCATGTTAAACGCGACGCAATCTAGTCATCGTAGTGGTATCAATTGCAAAACAAAAACACGATGACAACAAATGAAGTCTCAAATAAAGTGCTGTGGCAATCGAAAATCACCCACGTTTATTTGTCGAATTAACCGGGATCCTTTTAGCCTGATTTGCAGCTCGTTATGTTCATTTATCTTCTTCCTTTTTGTTTGTACAACGTTTTACATTTTGGTTGCCACTGCAGGATGCACCGCTCTTTTCCTGATTTATCTACTAAATTTAGCACCAACGCTTCGTAAACACTGATCGTTCATGTTTCTCAACATATATACGTATTACATATCGATGTATGTCCATCGTTCGATCATCGTCTCGTCATCCTCGAAGATTTCTTCATACTTTTCAACCTATTTTCTTTCTGTTTCTTTTTTTTTTTTTTTTGTTTTTCTTTGATTTCTTAAGATTATTATTCACGCGTGAACGAACGAGAAACGAACGCGCGCTCGCACTTGCCTTGGTTCTTTGTGCACCGTTAAAAAAAAACCTTTCGTTCGGGGGGTGGGTTTGCTTCGCCATTGCAGGTGAGGAAGGAATACAGGAAGTTCGTGCGCCGCCACTCCTGGCTGCCCAAGTGCCTGAGGTGCTCGAAGACGGTAGCCGGAAGCTCCGGTGGCTCTTCCGGTACCAGCGGCGGCGCCGGTGGTGCTAATGGAGGCAAGGACTTCGCCTCTCACAACACCTCGTCGAATCCGTCGGCGCCGACGACCGACAGCTCCGGATTGTCGCCGCACGCCGCCTCCAATGTGGGTACAACAACGACCACGTCACCGCCCAACAATCACAACAACCTGACCGCCGCCTGTAACAATACGAATCTTTCGATAAACGTGAACCTGAACAATTTGTCGCTGAGGTCGCCGGTCGGGGCACACCAGATGCACATGATGGCACCTAGCAACCACAATAGGCATCCCGCTCAGCAAGGTATCCGATAGCCGCTTCTACACCAAACCGAGAAAAAGCGATATCTTTGTTCGTTCGAGCAATTTTTGAGACAGCTGTGTATATCTGTCACGCAGGAGAAAATGTAAAAAAGACACGATTGACAAAGAGGGAATATTTTTCGAAAGAGGAGGACGAACGAAAATAGGTCTCTCTCTCTCTCTCTCTCTCTTTTTCTAACTCTACGTCTCTCTGGCTCGCTAACTGATTCTCTTCTCTTCTTTATTCGCTCTCTATTATACCACGGTATTTTTTTCTTTTTTATTATTCTTCCTTTCCGTCTATCGCTTGTTTCTGCCAGTAACGCAAGTATGATTAATAGTACTGGAATTATAACACACTGCGCCACTCTGTTACTCACTCCATGAACGTTCAACCAGCCTTTCGAGTTGATAACTTCGCAAGGTTCTTACACCTTTATCGGGCGAATTCTTTCGACGACCGACCGCGATGCCAACCAAGCACTCGTGTTTCCTTGTTCGCTACACGATCATTCACGTGATTGAGAGGAATGGGTTTCCGCTGCGGTTTCAACAGCCGTTAGTACGCGAGACCCTTTCAGTCGAATCTTCCTTCTCAATTTAACGATGCACCCACTGTCACCGTTCCGCACCAACCGATCAAGAGATGGTCGGCTGTGCGCTGCACACTTCTTCTTCTTCTTCTTCTTCTTTTTCTTTCGATATGAATCTCTCGTTCGTCTCTTTTCGAATAATCTCTTTCTAAGTAATTATCTTCGTAGCAACGATTTCGTAAATATTCGCAGTGATACGCGACTAGTGTTGCCTTAACAAAGGCAACAGATTCTCTCTGTGATTAGTATTTAGAAACAGTGCCGCAGAAAGTTAAGGGATTTCGAAACGCTCTATCCAACTAGTTAAGCGCTTAACCACCGTCATACCACTTGCACAACTACCACCCTCGACTTTGTTCGTTCCTGTATGCTAATACGCGATAACCGCGTCGTCGTATCGTCTTCGAAACAACGCCCTTCGGTTAACTTCCTTTTGTCGTCTCTCTTCCCCTCCTTCTTCGTTTTTTTTCTTCCTCTGCCTCGCGTTTTTTCTTCTTCTCTTTTTTTCTTTTTTTTTTTAATGTGTTACCCCAAGTCTGTTGCAGGATAAATTGTGAAGTGGGTGTCCTCGACCCTCCTAGTCGAGGGAGATTCGTTTCGAATGGCCGCGCGTTCCGCTCAAAAGCGACGCGTGCCAGAAACACTTTTATTAACATCACCGAGAGTCTCTTCGCCACCTCGAAAAACTGGCTTTGGAACGGGACGGGCTAAAAAGGCATTTAACGAACCGTTCGACTCTTTCGGCTCTATCGCGCTCGCTGCGCAGAGAATTTAGAGAGAAAAATAAAAGAGAGAGACAGAGAGAGACAGAGGGATGTGTGTATACATATGTATACTCAGAGAGTTGTTAGAGTAGGGAATAGGGGGAGAGCAGAGCATGTGAAGAACGATATTTAGGGGCTGGTTTGGTGTAACAGAAAAAAAGTGGGCAAAAGAGAGACAAACAGAGACAGAGACAGAGAGAAAGAAAGAAAGAAAAAGGGAGAGAGAGAAAGAGAGTGAAATTATTGAACGTGGTCAGACCGTAGATTTGTATGATAAAACAACGATACTCGGTTGTAGATGAAACGATAACCACACAGCGAGCTGTGTTGTGTGCACAATCCTGCACGATGTTGTTTTCTCCGTAAAAGTTTATTGCCAATTGTCGCACGAATTTATCGGATTTGGTAGAGATTACTAGACATGAGCCGACTAAAAATAACGAACGACGTTACACATGACAATTATATAATTGCGTGGCACTGCGATACTTCTTTTCTTTTTTATCTCTTCGCGTTCTTTTTCCTACCGCGCGTTTGTTCCTGAATTTGTTTGTCGGCGTGGCGTGTCTGTCGACGTAAATTTGGCCAAATTTTTTGAATGGCTCGCAACACACCGGTGCCTCGTAATTCCCGCGGAAACAAACGGCGTTTGTGTACGATATGCGACTTTTTTCCCTCTAAACTCGAATTCTATGCAGTTGTATAATTGTCAGAGCGTGGAGCCCTCTCGAACGTACACGGCAGATATTAAAAAAAATCCGTGCTTCCGTTTCGAACGTTCAACGAGAGAAACCAAAGGAGAAACCAAAGGAATAAAAACCGCGTTTCGTGATACCGCAATAACCGATGAATTTGTTGTGCGTATCGTTCTCTTTCTCCGTCTCTTTCGAAATTCACGATTGTGTCTGTTCTTGTTTCTTGTCTGAGTGAAAAGAGGGGGGAGGGGAGAGAAAAAGAAAACGATGTCGATGTTGACAAGCGACAAAAACGAAAAAAAGAAAAAAACGAAACGAAAAAGAGAAAATTCTCGTCGCGGTAAGCGTAGCATTGGTCCTCGAGCACCAGGCGAAAAATAGATGCAGCACCCTCTCTCGCTCGATTTTTGCACACCTGTAAACACGCGAACGTACTATTTGCAAGACCTCCTACTAACAATGGTGATTTTCGTGCTTCTTATCTGGCTCTGGGTTTGGTGTAACGCGGTTGCTGGCTACTTTGTACCCTATCCCTTCCCTTTTGTCCCTACGTCTCGCCAGAACAGAGATTTACTTTTATTGCGACGCACGTGAAACGAGCGTAGAACGTTGCGCTGCTCGCCATTTATTTCAGATGATGTCCCGGACGGAATGGTTAATGAAACACTTCTCTACGGACCCGGGTACACGCACGAGAGACATAACGAATCTGTAACATCGATGATTTATACAATCGGTCTCGCAGCTGCGCCTCTGACGACTGACTGCGTTCGCAATTCCTCCAGCCTATGCCCATTTTCTGCTCGCTGTTTCATCCCTCTAAAACAAGTCGCGTCCAGCGAATCCATGCTGAATTAACGCTAACAATGCAACGCATGGCTGTGTGACAACAGTTTGACGTTCATATACTGTCAGATATTATCACGACTGCGAATTATCATAAGCGCAGAATGTTAAGGTTCAAAGATTTTATCATTTGTCCCGTATATGTGTACGTAAATACAAATGCTTCATACGTATACGTAAGATGACAAAATTTTGATCCGTTTAAAATTTTAAAAGAGATACCTTTGGGACCCGCGTCTACTATTTTGTGTATCTATATAAAGTACAAGAAAAATGTTAAGAGTTTCTATCGCAAAGTTAAAGAGACAGATTCTCACATTCCAGTAGAATCTGCTCTAGCAAATCGGCCATGGCTTCCTCGCAAACCTGTTTGTCGCTTATCGACTCCTTTTTACTCTCGAGGCATTGATGCGTGAGCCGACCGGTAACTCTGTCATTAAAGAAGTTCAAACGAATTTCCGTAGGCCATGAAGGAAGTATACGTTCAGAAAGATTCGTAATGTACGAGCGAATGTTGTTTTTATCCGATCACGTGGACAGAATACGATCCTCATAAATATCTATTAAAACACGTATAAAATATTGTTGAAGTCTAAATAGGTCTCATCTTATTACCGATCCACTTCGTTTATCGCATTCTGCCCACGTAGTCCAAGAATATCTTTAAGCCACTCGCTGTCAAGCGATCGTTTGATCGAAGAGCGCACGAATTGACTCTTCTCTTTGTTCCCCTTCGCGAATATTCTTGCGCTTTCCGATTGACGTCTTTGGTTCGGTTCACACGATAAACGTACGTCTTCACGCGCGTCGAGACGCTATTCGGACTATTCATCTATCGCACGAACGTGGTGACTTAACCACGAGGACGGAAGAAAATCGTAAAGACGAAGAAAAATCCTCGTCGAACCGACCCGATTCACATATCTCTCACACCTCCTCTGCAACGCACACACACATACACACGCGTACACTCGCAAACTTTTCTCTACCACTTTTGCTCTCTGTATACATGCAAACGTATGGACACTCACGTGCATAAACAGACACGTCGTCTTTTTTTTCCTATTTTTTTTTTTCTCTCCCCTCGCTCCGTGCGTTTTCGCTAATTAACACCAGGTGCACATTCGCGCGACGAGAGGCAAGGATAGGGTAATACGGATCATCGAAGCCTCTAACGATCCAGTTCGCGCTCCAGCAACTCGGAGACGCTTCGCGTTCTTTAATCGCGAATCACGGGAACGCGAAAATCCATAATTAGCCGAGCGAACGTGGAAAAGTGGCGCGCGTTCTCATTGGAACCCGGCGCGAGGGAGTTTGATCGCGGCCGGTTTTACAAATTGCACGATGGTAATTTTATTCGATGGATCGGTGAAGCGCTATCGCATGATGATCGGTATTACGCTATTTCCTCTCTGGTACAGACGACCCAGTCTCGGCACGGTTGCACGTCAGCCACGCAAACGAGGAGCCGGTTCCCGACATTACCTCATTACAGACAGTAAGAAAACAAAGAAGACTCGTTCCCCCCCATACGCTGCTACGATCTCTGTCGCATCTCACCTTGCTTCACCACGCTGTCTCCGCGCTTCGTACCAACGTATGAATCGATAATCTTCGAACAATCTTTCCAGCACTTACAAAGCCAAACGACTTCTCCTCTCCGAGTATTCTCCGTGGATTTACCAATGTCAACTTGACACCGCGTTAAAAGTTGTAAAAACGTCTTGATCGACTCAAAATCACATTTAAAAGTGACATTCAAAACTAACTATTTCGAAGAAATGCGGACAAAGACGAAGGATCGATCGATCAAGCAGTCGAGGATAACTATTTCACATTCGCTTCTCTTTCGATCAAACGTAAAGAACGGGGAGGGGCGATAAATTTTCAGAATCCGTCTCTCGTCGTCGTCGTTGCGACGTTCCACCGAGAGCGGGAAAAATCTCGGTCGGAAGTCGGTGGCTCGTTCGCGTGACCCGTTCACATACGGCCGGAAAACAGGTGCGATCGCGTATCGTCCCAGGACAAACACACACGGGGTCGAGGTGTGCGTGCTGACGTCGCGTATCTCAGTCCGTTACGCCGTAGATTTGCTCGTGTACGAGTTAAATCCGCCACGCTTCCGGCGAGCATCGCAGCTCCGCGAGATATCGTCGGATTTACCCCGTCCGTATCTTTCGTGTGCGCGTTGCTTCCTATGGGTCGGAGGCCCTTTTTAAACCGTGTCAGACGAGATCCGGTTAATCCTTCCTCCTCGCGACGAGAACGATCGCACCGGCCCGTATTTGTCACGAACAACCCCTACCGTTGCTGGGTTAATTAGTTTCGAAGAGAACTCGCCGGAATGAAGAAAGTTCCCGATGGTGGAGGAACGTGTGGAATTTTGTCGAGATTATAGAAGGGCGGGGCAGAGGGGGGGGGGGGAGGAATTACGGAGCAAGGTGTTTTGCCCAAGGTTTCGTGAGATTCGAGTTAACCCTTTGTTTACTGGTAAACTGTATTGCCTTTGTAATCGAACGTGTCGAAACAGCGATGACTTCTCAGATATATCTCCGGTGTTCAACCATTTGGTTTTCCTCCAAATCGTGAATTTGAAAATATTAAACACACATCCTCGTCTACAAGACCTCGATTCGTAATTTTCAGTCAGAATGCGACAATGGATATTACGTCGACAGTCGAATTACATCAGATTGTCACAAACGACGACGACCCCTCATATTTCAAACATATTTCAAACGACATCATCCCCTCTGAACGCTCGATTCACACGTATACACCAACTCACGTAAGGAGACACAACACTTGATCCATCCCCTTGCGTATCAGTAAACGAAGGGTTAAGAGGGAACGGCGAATGGTTCGATTTTTCCAGTACTTGGCATCCGGTCGAAGCTGGGCGATTGTCGATAGGCAGCCGGCAGTAACAGTGCCACGTGAATCCTCTCCAACAGAGGCTCATATTGTGGCCACCCTGCCGTACGCCCGTCACGCCTTCTTACCCTCAGCTCCCAATATCCCCAAATCTGCCACTGCCACTTGGGGCCACCTTAACAAAAACCTCATGTGGAAGGTAACTAACTCACCGCAGCTAAGAAGAAAAAGCTCGCTCACTCGCTCGCTCGCTCGCTCGTGTCGTGTGTTGTTTCGATCGATCTTTTCCTTTCTCTCACTATATTCTTCTGCCAATTGTTTCTCTAATTGACTGCATGGTGTGCCACGGTCTTTTTGTTCAATTGAATTCTCTTTCTTAGTTTTTCAACACGTTTTCCCCATTACTTTTATGTTTCCTCGGTCTTTATTTGACAAGCACCTAGAGACACATTTTGCACACTTAGAGGACACCTCGTGGCTCGACCAGACCCGACGCTTCGAAACCGCATGGAGGTGTGGGGAAAATCGTTTCCGGTGAAACATGTTCGTCGGATAAAAGCTTGCGTTTTTTTACCCATTTTCATTTCTTTTTCTTTTTTTTTTTTTTTTTTTGTTTTTGTTTTTTGTTTGATTGCGATCATTTCGTTGTCGAAACCTCGAAACCTCTATTTTGAAGTTGTTCGGTGAAAGAAAGCGATTCGAGGAAAATTGAAAGATAACGTTTATAGTGATCGAACTTCAAAAAAGAATGTTCATGTGGTCACGACTTCGACGATGATCGCAGAGAATGTACATTCAAGAACACAGACCGTATTCAGTTTTGTCGAAAATGAACGTCTTTACTTTTCGTACGGGTCGCGTAGCTCGTTGTGTGTGTTTTACGTTTTCGTTCAGTAGTGACAGAATGATACCATAAACGTGCCCTCATGATCATTTGTACATACAGCACGTAACGGATCTTCTCGCTCGTTCCTTCGACTATGCATGCGAGCTCGTGGATTTTTTTGAGAACGTTCCCGAAGAGGTCATCGAAGTAAATCCTCGATGAGACTCGCTCATACCCTCCCCTACTTATAATTCGCAGGTATCGCGCGAACGAGATCCTTCCGTTTCTGAAAGCTGGAAAACTCTCCCTCTCCAATTGTCTAACTTGAAATTTAATTTTAGAGAACGTCACGAGAAATCACAAGGATCGTCGTTCGCGCACTCGCGCATATCCTCCCTACATACCAGCAGGTTATACACACCAAGTCATTTTTCATCTTTCATCTTTCGTCAAACCATACTCTCTGACCCGTCAACTGCCCGCAGTTACTTAAACGAATCTGTCTCTCCTGCAGAACATTTCTTTTAAATCGTATTCCCGTGATTCCGGCCATGGTGGCTCCGAGCAAGAGGACTCGCCTAGGACGCACAACACGCTGACCCTGGGACACTCCGGACGAAATCGCGGCGCAACGAGAGGAATGAACGAGAATAACGAGATCAGCGGCAACAGGACGACGGGGGGCTGCGGCGGTGGCCGAAGGATCGCGATGCCGTACAAGCACAAATACACGGAGATCATGGACGGTCGTGCTAACGGGCCGGGACATCATCAACTGCATGCCCATCACGGCCAACACGTGCACCTTCCACGAGATCTAACGAACGAGGACGAACCAGTTTACGAAGAGATCGAGCGTGGCGGTGGCGGCGGCGGCGGCGGCGGCGGCGGCGGAGGCGGCGAGATTCAAGTGTCGGACATGTCCGACGAGGACGGCAGAAGACAGAGCGACATGAGCAGACAATCGTCGAGAAGTTACGGAGATCACAGACCGCTGATACCATACTCGCCAGCCACCGACAGGAATCTGGTGCATTACGGGCAAACGTTAACGGACCGTGGCGGCGGAGGAAATATCCATTGCGACGCGTCAGAGTATAGTCCGGCGTTCGAGAGGACCCTCAACACTTGCTGGGAGAAATTACGAAAGCAGCAAGCATGGTACGAGCGTGGCGAACTGCCACGACTTCCGACCAGTTTCGGTATACCGCCTCAGCCGGATCAGTCGAGAACGGTCGCGGTTCTAGACGGGCATACGGTCGTCTGTCATCTGCAGCCGCAGACGGACATGTACACAGGCCGCGGAATGCCACCGCCTTCTTACAGCGAGTGTTAGAATGTCGTAACCCGATGTTGCGGAATGTTGTCGTCCTCTTCGTCTTCCTGCACGAGGACGATGATGTCGAGACGCCGCGTCTCGTGGCCATCGACGAAGGAACGTTCGAAGGAACGCATGGGTTGTTCGTGAATATTATGGAACGGCGTTCTTAATCGACGATCGGCGAAGTCAGAGAGATCGTCGACAACGTGGTTCGTTCCTTAAGAAAGCCACGATTCCGAAACAACTCCGGAGTTATGTCTCGAGCTACGTTCAGCCGGATGAAGGCACGTTGCGAACGAGGACAACGCGTCTCTATAGCTCAAACGTAAACGCGACTGGTCCATCAGGAGATTGATGATCGTCGCGTTTCTTAGCCATAAGCGGGTCGATCGGCGAAAATGGCCCCGCATCTTTGTTCTGTTTCCAGTATCTGTTTCCTCGAGAGTTGCGTGTAACCAATTGCGAAAGTCCACGCGAAGCGGACGTGTCTATCGTCTCTCTAGCTCTAGAACCGTGCGAGTGTGTGACGAAACGTCGAGGATCTGTGTACGATAGCGTGAATTATTCGAACAAAATGGACCTCTTGTTGAAGTTAATCGATCGTCGTTGTACCGTCGAAGCTGCGCTCGGCTTTTTGGGATTGGCTCACTGACAGAGTTCGGAGGATACGACGTTGTGCGGAGAACGATAAGACGTGACGAGTCCTCTTAGGTTATTAAGATTTACTAGGACAACGCTCATTGAGTTCGAGGTTTCGAGGAACGCGTGTAAACGACTCGGACGGGAAGTATGCTCTTGATTATAATATCGGAACAAATTATTTCCTTGCGTTCTTCGTCACGATCTTCTCGTTCATTGTCGATCTATCCTCGAAGCCTGTCCTCATATGCGTTGAGAAATCGAGGAAAGCATTTTCCTCGATCGTCTCGTCGACGCTGGCTCTGCTCGTTAACGAAAATGACCCATGGATTATTTGAAAAATAATAGACATATCGAGATCGAGAAGGGAAAAGGTTTCGCCTCGAGGGCGTAAAAATCGTTCGTTAACGAGTGTTGAATCGACGAGAATTCGATTCGAATCCCCGAAGGGAATCGGCGACGACTCGATAAAGGAATCTGAAGCCCGTGTTCCCTTCCAAACTTTCTCGACTTTCATCAAACCGGAGAGCAGCGTTCAGTGACATATCGCAAGATTGCCGATCGATTAGTCGACCTCGCCACGGAACGTTTAGAAGAAAACTAAAGTTACTTAATAATCGATCAACGCTTATACTTCGATTAATCATAATCGCGTTACATTAGTGGTCGCATCGTAGAATTACTTCTAAAGTCGTCAGACTGCTTTCGTGTAAAAGTTGCGACACAATCTGTGTCGGAAGATGCAGATGGAAATGAAAAAAAGAAAAAAAAAAGAAAAAAAAAGAAAAAAAAGAAAGAAAGAATCCTCGAGTTTCGGAGACGAAAGGAACGTACGTGTCAATTTCGAGTGAGTTTCGGTAATTAGATCTTGGAATACCCCCCTCGAGGGAACGTAGAGCCCGTACGGTTTAAAGTACCTTTATCGGTCGTCCCAGCCAGCTCCTCATTGTACATTGCTTTGGAACGTTACGTTTTAGTCCCAGAATGTTATTTTTATAAATAAAAAAATTATATATATATAAATGTATATGTATGTATACAGTAACAATATTATATATATATATATATATATAAAATACGAAAAAAGAGAGAGAGAGAGAGAGAGAGAGAGAGAGAGAGAGAACGTGGATAAGAATTGTACGAAACAAGTACACATATATATATATATATAGTGCTACAAAGCGATTTTCCGAACGACGTGAAAAAAGCGAAAAAAAACTTAGTCACTGTTTTTTACTATTTTTTAAAGAACAAAAAAGGTATATGTCGTAACCGCGTAATCTAATATGTAACTAAGGGAACCCGCGCGCTATTTATTTTTTATTATCTGTGAGTGTTATCTAATGTGTAATTAGCGATCATGTTAGGATCGACGATCGATGAACGCGTGAACATTAGGAACGTAATTATGATTCGAAGGATCAAAACGAGATCGATCGATCAAACGGATCGCCGTCAATCGATCGTCGAGTCGATTGGCGAAATTTTCTGCTTGTAAAGATCTATCGTCGATGAGCGAAAGCTATATTGGGCGAACGAATATCGAACTCTATTTTAGCTCAATGTTTGTTTCTCGAAACGTCTGACTTCTCCACTTCTGACTGGAGAAATATATTGAGTTGACTAATTGATAACGCAAGCTTTTGTTTTTTTTTTTTTAATTGTGTTACTATGGTTCAACGCGAAAAGGTATTTGTTAAATTATGCTTAAAACAACGTTATATTTCGATATGAAATTTCTGTAGATTTTCCTAAGTGAAAGTGAAGCACGCCATATGCAGTGAATTCAATACACTCTTTCTCTCGGTTGAACAGCGTTTCGTCGTTTCCTTTTTCTTTAATTTATTTCTCTGCTCAGCCGGGCCGGCCGTGATCCTTCTCCCCGGCAAATCGTTCGTTAAGGCGAATAAATCTATAGGCGAATTAAATAGCGGTAATCAGCGTTTTAAGGGTACCAGTATAGTTATATTAAGCATTATAAACGTTTCCTTCGATTTCTATGAAATTGTTCATTTTAGCATCGCGTGAAATCCATTCGCGGTTATCTCGGTTTTCCTGTTTTTAGAGGCCCTTCGCACAAGCGTAGCTTGCGACAACAACCAAAACACCTGGAAAAACGTTTCTGTCCACAATCTTAAAAGGTAGAACGAAAACTGTGTCGAGTACGTATATATTTATATATATATAATTTTCAACGCCATGAGAATACTGCCGTCTCGTTTCTTGTCCGTAGTAAATAAATACATGAACTTTGAACGCTCATTTCTCGGTCGTCGCGTATCGAATCGCCGTTCAACATCTATTGGAATCGTGTATCCTAGCGTCGATACTTATCGTATGCATTTTTGGACATTTTTTCGTTCCACTTTTACATTCCTTCGTCGTCACGATAAGCAGCAATCGTGCGAGACATTTTCAGAGAGCAACTCAGCAAGGATTGCAGAAATCAATCAAAATACGTGATAAGTTGAAACGATATCAGAAATGAAAGCTCATGATACAAAATTGAGCCTCTGTTGCTTGATGTCTAAGACTTTCGTGCGTTGCTCACGAGCGTTAAAAACTTTACGGTATATTATGGTGCGCGATAACGTTGTACGTTTTAACTTGTTAAGATTTCATTTCGCGTGTTTCGATGAACGTCAAGATCACGGCATGATTATGTTGTAGCAGCAAGTTATTTTTTTCTCGACGCGATTGTTAAATCCCGTGATTACAAAGAAACGAAAAAAATTTTCTTTCTCCTCGACGTTTGTGTCGTCGCGTCTCGCGAACGTCGTCCTCCAATGTTCAGTCTGCTACGCGACGGAGTTTAGTTCTATGAATTTTGTACAAGCGAAAGATCTTGCCCACTGAACGTTTACTGCCGGATATAATCGTAAACGCAGCCACATTCCATCCGTTCGACTTATCGTAATTAAAAGAGGCAAGAGGAGATTTAAAGGTGTACGAGCCAAGTAGACGGGAACAACTTCGAGCGCATTGTGCCTGACAAATAGGCAATCGATTTACGAATTTACGAAATTCTTTGTTTGTCTTCTTTTTCCTTCTTTTTTTTAAATTTTGTTTTCTTTCGCTCATTTCCCCCTTTTTTCTTATTTTCTTGCATCGACAACGGCGTAACCGGCGGGCCACACAAAAAGAGAAAAAAGAAGACACTGGTTTAAAGATTTGTTATATACGAAAGACGAGAGAGAGAGAGAGAGAGAGAGAGAGAGAGAGAGAGAGAGAGAGAGAGAGTGAGAGAAAAGAGCATTATCATTGAGAAATTCTCGAAGTGAGATGTACATAATGTAAATAGGGCTTTGTACATGTTGAAAATGTTGTAATGTAAATGGAAAAAATGCGCTAAAAGAGAGCGAAACAGAAAGAGAGAGAGGGAGAGAGAATTGCATGCATGAGGAAATGAAAAAGAGAGGTAAAGAACGAAAGGGAGAGAGAGAACAAGAGAGAGGCGACCGAGACGATCGATTTGAAAACAGAAAAGGATACATTTAGATAAGATAAGTTATTAGTAAGTAGTGGATATTACAGTGACTATTATCGTGATGGCGGATGCGTGAGGCGGTTTAACTTAAGTCCCAAACGTAATTAGTTAATGTGTAAATAAATTAAGCGAGGAAGTAAAACAAACAAAAAAAAACAATATTAAATGAAAGCCCAAGTAATCTTTGGATATTTATAAATGAACTCCACTAAAGAGAAGTAACGACAAATGAATAAAAAGAAAGAAGAAGAAAGAACAATGAATATGTAGGTTCGACGAGAGAAGAGAATGTAAAAAGAAAAGAAACCATGAATTCAAGCACGTACGTTAGGTTGCTTAAACGAATGGAATATTAGACGAAAGGAACAAAATAAGTACACGAAAGGTAGACAAAAGTGGAAGAGAGAGGGAATAAAAAAAGATTGGAGAAAAGAAAGGGAAAGATTAAGAATGAAAATGTGCAAACAGTTAATCAGATGGACAGATATACAGTGCATGTTTTATCCTTAGCCGTTTTATAAATATAAATATCCTGTTCCCTCCCCCTCCTTTCTGAACTCCCTCGGTCTCGATCTTTATCCTTCTCCTATTTTCACGTGACAAAATAGGTGCGAATCTTTTCTCTGAGTGAGTACATCTGTCCGTACTGTCAATCTCGAAATGTTCCTTTCAAATCGTGTATGCTGTCTCTCTTTACTTTTCGTCTTTGTTCTCTTGCTTGCAGCAGCATCGCGTAAACGAGTTCCCGAACGAACCACAATCGTGTCGCCCCACGAGATACTTTAGCGACTAAAAACTTTTGTATCGTGAGCAAAAATAAAAAAAAAAGAAAAAACAGAAAGGAAGAAAAGAAGAAGAAAAGAAACAATTATATCAGAACGGCCAGGGAAAAAAAAAAATTCAAAGCAATCGCAGAAAGTCAATCCGCGGAAATAGAAACGCACTATATCCACATATACACGCATCCATGTGTGCACACTCCACCATCTCAAAAGAAGTCCTTTATCCACCCACAGCTAATCCTTCAAAGTGTCGGAATATTTTTCGAATCGGCTTTTTTCTGAAACGTTTTACCCAAATACACGAAGCAACAGCGGTCGAATTACAGAATTTTTAGATAAGCCAGCGCACGATTCATATTCACATAGAATTCGTGAAAATTCTGTGATCTTTATCATTTATGTTCTCCCTTTGTAAGTGATATTTAACGAACGTAAAGAAAAAGAAAAATAAAGAAATATGCGAACGGTTTTAGCATGTAATTACGCGCGTAAATTTTCCGTGAATCATCGCCTGCCTGCGCACGCTGACAAATGAAAAGGAAGAGGAAGACCGAAAAACAAGTAGAAGAATGGGAAGAAGAAGAATGAGAAGAACATAAACGAGCAAGAAGAATGTAAAATCTAGGTATCTCCGATCTACTAAGAGCCTCCGTTTCTTCATTTTTGTATGCTTCTTTAAGACTGTCTGATACAGGAAAAAAGGATAAATAAATGTGTACCAATCTCTGAATAAAAAATGTCTCGTTTTTGTCTATTTTAGAAAATCTTCTAATTAATCAATTTCTATGTCTACGCCGATTAGTTTCTCAGAATGTTTCTAAACGTTTCTACATTTCCAACTATGGCCGCTATATGTAAACTAGTCTGGCCAACATTGTCAGTAGCTTGAGCATCAGCTCCCAGATCGATTAATCGCTTTGCAACGGATATATGACCCCCTTTAACTGCTTCATGAAGAGGAGTAGATCCTGAGGAATCACGCACGTTCAAAAAATTCGTATTAAGCGAGACAAGACGATTGACTAAACCCTCATGACCATGGAATGCTAAGTATTCATAAAATACATAATTATGATTTATAATTACGACTAATTATATTAATGACTATTTAATGGAGAAATTCTTACCAGCAATGTGCATAACAGTACGGCCATTATTGCTCCGATCGTTAATACGTTCAGCAAACTGATTCACCAATAAATCAAACGCATTTTCATCACCAGATCGACAAATTAAATGCAACGATGTCCATCCATCTTTATTTCGAAAAAACGGATTTGCTTTTGCTTCTAAAAGCGCAAGAATGCATTCAAATACATCATTTCCAGTTTTCGTACAAGCCAACATGAGCGGTGTCCAATCAGCACGCTTTAATGCATCTATATCTGCACCTTAAAACAATATAACAATAACTACAATAACAAAAAAAAAAGAAAAAGAAACAAGTAACATCAAAAATAAATACCTTTTTCAATTAAATATTTGACTATATCTCTATGAGCAAACTGCGCTGCCTCGTGCAACGGCCTTTTCATATCTTTATTGGCCACATTCACTCTAAAATCTGGCTTCTGAAAATTCTCGCACAAGTATCGAACAATATTCAAATGGCCCTCGCGGGTAGCAACATGCAATGCGGTGTCACCGGAAGTCAAATGTCGGAAGTAAGTCCAATCTTGAATGTCGTATTTCGATACGAGGATTTCCACTCTTGATAAGTCTCCATTCTGACAAGCGTGCAGGAAGTTTCGTGATAGGTTAGGATCTGTCATATATAAACTTTTATTAACAAACAAATGAAATACGCATAAAATAAAAATGACAGAATGTTTCTGTTCAATGAGAATGCTTGATAAAAACTACTTAAGGAACAATATATTTAGACACGTAGAAATACTTGAAATGATCCCGGTTGACAATTAGTAAAGAATCACAAAAATATATAACCATGGAACAAGTATAGAATAGATACATTATTCAATAGATCTTTTTAGCTCACATTTTGAGAGTCATCTGTAGCACAGACGAGATATATGAATAGAGATCCCAAGCATTTTGTGGGATTTCGTGCTCTGAAATACCGACAGAGTAAAAAATCTATCACTATTTTTTAATACACTCCACGCTTTAAAAACGTGGTGAATTGGGAAACTACATCAAATAAAACGATCGAAGTTGACCAAGTAGTGAAAATGTTCAGTACAACCATGTTGGAGGTTACATGATGAATGATCACCTCTGTACAGCTCTTGTAGCTGTATCAGGCGATCCAGGAGCAGGAACAGCCTTCCACGAAACCAGTGGAAAAATTTGGGCATTTTGTAAACGCAACACTACTTCAAGAAACGCGATTACTGATTATTGCAACACTAAAAGGAAAAGTAATTAGAAATCGCGATGAAACAATATCGCAACACTACTTGTAAAAGTAATTCGAAATCGCGTGAAATAATGTCGCAACACTAACTCTAAAGTTAAATTCAATTAAAATTATTATCAAGAGTACAAAAGCTAGTATATGAACAAAAAGCAACTTCAAATGTTCTAACATTCTAAAATCAACTAAAAGCAATGACTCTAATCTAATTTAAAACAACAGAAAGCAAGACAAATTTTACTCAAATTTGTGAAACCATAGGACAGCTTCAAAAATGCACAATCAGAATTGCAAAAGACAATCGCGGTATTATAATTCGCAACTCTAAAGCAAACACGATTACTTCTTCGCAACTCTAATTCAATCCATAATCAATCTCTCGCAACACCAAAAAAGTCGCGATTTGCCCGAAACAATGATGAACGATGATGAAAAAGGAAAAAAATACAACTACAAATACTAAAAGAGCATAGTGACAAAGTAGTAACGAGAATGACTTCCCATGCTCTGGTATCATTTGAATGATCCAGAGGATGAGAAGCCATCTGTTGTGACCCTCTTCGTGGCAGTTTGCCGAGCCTCTTCGGCTTTTAGCCTTTTCTTTCTTCGAGCGCAATGCCCGCTGAAACTTACATCTAGCTTGAGTCTTTCTAATCGCAAACCAAAAAATAACTTATAAAGGTGAAATAATAATATAAATCGCGAAAGCTGACCCCAATACACATGGAACGACCATCGATCATAATAATCGTTGTCCGTACGCATGTGCGTGCTCAAGCAATACCTACATGAACGTTCATTTCGGGACCTACACGCGACCTATCCGCGACCGCGACCGCGATACTAAATTCGAAAAATCGAAGAGTAAAACCAGAGACAAGTGGCATGCTCGATTTGTACCAATTTCACTGTCGATTTTTCAAATTAGGTTTCCTGAAACAGGTTGGACATGCGAAAAGGGGACACGCGATCAGAGACTGTGCCAACCTGCCCGGCCCTACCTACTTATAATTAAACACATTCACACCACAAAGTATGCTACCTATCCTAACAGTCGCCCTATATTTAAAAAATGGCAAAACAGGCATACCAACACATTCATTCCACGGTTCTCACACATACCACTCGGGCGCAGAGACCTAAACTAGAGAGGACGTCCCGGGACGCCTCCGACACCCGAGCTTAACACACAACTTTCACACTCTAATTTACGTACCATTTTCCTGAAATCGACTGACAATGGCTAGCGACCATTGCGTAAAACGTGACTAAAACACGTTTACAGCTATATGTGAGATATTAATAATTGAGAAAGAATACATATAATTTTCATAGAAATCACATGTGCAAGTTGACATGGAATCATTATTACAATTGATTGTATAATTATCAATATAGTGTATTTATTAGGTATTATTATAATAAATTCATATTTCAAATTAGTGCATAAATATTTTAAATATAATTTGTAATGAATGAAATACAATAAAAACGACGCAATTCCGCACCCTAACCACACACACACATGCGGAAAATACGTCGTGCACGATACGCTAACACATTGCCAGTCGCTGAGAAATTTTTTATAAAATTAAAAACTATGGCCATCGTGCTCAATGTCTTTCACCCACTCAAGTAGCACCTGGGCACGTGAGTGAGATCCTGACAATAAACACGGAAGGGGTTAAACCTGAAAATCCTGACTAAAAAAATAATTACTTTGTGTAATTTATATCTAACGGACTATTGCATTATATTATTTTAAATTGTAATAACTCAACTCTTTCAGAAATTATTGAAATTGCAAGAGAATAAAGATAATCAACAAGAACAGAATTTATTAAAAAAGATACTATGAAATCGAATAATTGATTCAAGTAATCAAAATCAAATTGACTCTAAATTAAATATTAATGGAAATAACCTCAGGCGACTTCTTCATCAAAGCACATTTCCAAAAATGCGAAAGCACTGTTCAAACCAGTTACTTTGATTCAAAAATCTGCCTGTCGCGAAATATCTTCTTGCACATAAATTTTATACATTTCTCTACGGAAAAATTTCTACTCTATTATGTTTCAAAAGCTACTGAAGTTCATAATTAAAAAACTCAATTCATTCATTCATTTAAAAGATAAAATGAAATAGGAAAATATTAATTATTATAAAAATTATTAATTGTTAATTATTATGACAAAACATATTACAAATATCAATAAGTGATAACTGTATCTTTCATAGCAACGAAGTCGGAGGATATCCGTCTTCTCTACTATAAAATACTCAAACGAAATCATTTTAATAATTATTCATAATTTATCTATTCACATGAATATTTTGCTTTTGCAAACATTTCTATTGAATATATTTTGATTTTATAAATAATTACTATAAATGTATATATTTACACTAATTGGTAAAATCGCGATGTGCAAGAAGCCCTATCCTGATCTAATACATAATAAATTTGAAGAAATGTTACTACTCACGAGTATAAGAAATACCCGCGGTCACTATGCTCATCAAAAATTCTACGTATACAACCAGTCACCCGTGCTGATTCGGACCTTTCGTCCTACGACATGATTGAGTGACCGGAGGAACACAAATGCATGCGACTCACGCGACTGATGGTGAAGAGCGTTATCATCGATGCTGCACTGGAACTACACAGGGAAAGTTATCGTGAAGACTCTCATCAAGTAGTTGATACCACTGAGAATCCCATGGTGGAACGCCATGAAAAATTTCTTAAAAAACATAAAACATTTTCTTTCTAAAGACACAATGTTATTTGTGAAAATTTGAATTTTAATAATTTTAGATAGTTTTTATTTTATAATTATAATTTTACATTCGACTTCAATAAAAAGAAAACTATAAAAGAAAAATTTAAATACAACATGCTAAAGTACTTACATTTTTAGCTTATGAAGCATCATAAAATTCTTGGAGGATTAGGGGAAGTGGACACTGTGGAAGATTTGTAACAAAACATTAAACGTTGGAATTTATATTTAAAAGCAAAGTAAAATCTTAAGCTAAAGGTAATAAAAGGTAATAAAAGATTCTTACATTCTTGGCTTTAGAGCCAGCATTAGATTTTCCCCAAAAAATGCAAAAAAATTGATGATGTGAAGCGTCTGTAACAAACATTATATTTTGTTGTTAAATTTGAAAAATTGAATAAATTGAGATATAATATATGAAACAACTTACGATTTTAATCTCCTGGAGAGGCCTTATCCTCTTGAGCACTGACTCTAATACCGAAAACGAATATTCATCACAAAGAAATATAAAAAAAGAAAAATAAAAGACTATCAATACACACGTTTAAGTATCAATCGGCGGGCTCACTGATTCTAATTTCGCGAATTATAGTTTAAATGAATTTGATTTAAGCTCAAGAGCCATTTTGCTCAAAAAAATATTAAAACATTGCGTAACAAGCACAGACACTACCGATCGCATTGCGCGCGGTCACAAATATTCTCTGAAAATAAAGTTGATTAGGAGAGAGAGAGGGACATTCATTTAAAAAATACTGCTATTTTTCTAGAAAGTCATTAAAGAACATTAGTTAAAAATTATAGAGTTTTGCAGAAATATTCTATAAAAATTGTGTTCTGAATGTTATTAGAATATGCACATTAGTAATATATCATATATTGTATGTATAGTAATATATCACGTGTATCAAAAATGTTTACACAAATTAAAATTTTACAGCTAAATATATTTTAGAAATAATAACACGAGAAACACGTGTGAAATCTTGCTTTGAAATATTTCAATTGCGCGTTAGTTTTCGGAGAGACATATAAATTGTATCTCAAATATATATAAATTGTATACCAAATATTACCCAAATGTTATGAATAAAATGTTACCAAATTTCCGTGAAAGTTTTCATCAGTATCAGATTGTCCATTAATAATCGTGGCTGTACTATCTATGCTGTCTCTGCAATCAAGGAATAACCTGCACGAAAAGAAATCGAAAGTTAAAACGAACAAGACAAATGAAGCTAAATATGTGAAAATGAAAAAAATAATCAATTTCAAAAAGAGCGTACGAGACAAGCTACTGGTGACGCGAAAAGTTTCAAATCACTACACGATTTCGTTATTATAATGCTCAATGAATCGTTAAACACACGTGTATTAATTAAATGATATTAATGAGCTACAAATGGAAGTAAAAGAGTGTCGAAAAAGTGACGCCATCGAAAAGACGCCACCGAAAGTTACAAACTTAATGAAACGTAATGCGTGTTGTTGTCACGAAACTCGACAACCGAATGACTTTCCGCGACACATCTCGCCTAGCAATTGAGAAAATAGGGGAAGGTTATCCTGTCCGAACAGGTACGATAAATAAGACGAACATAAACATTGTGCTCGTGTTGTCGTTTTGAATTTCGAGCTTCAAGGCCTTCTCCGCTTTACTTTATTTGAGAAATGGAAATTTCGATTATATTACGCTGTAGAATTATTATTTTAACCATTAAATACGTACATTCTTAATAAATTATTGTTGATTTTAGTATTAGAATTGTTAAGAATTACGCATGATTTAATTAAAGAATAAACAAATAAATAGAAAATGTTATCATAGAAGTATATATGTAAAAGCATATAGTAAAATGCACATATATATATAACAATGAATTAATCAATTACAAAATTACAAATATTTGTACTGGTTAGAATTGAAAATAAATTTCGACATAAAATTACTTAATTTTGACTTAAAATAACTTTTAGCATATGTTCTGTTTAAATGTTTATATGCCATTATTTCTTTAATTGTTGAAAATTATATGTAATAATTATTTGGTTAAATCTTACCTTCAGTTGAAGTCGAAAATGCATGTTTTATCTTAAAAATTCAAAAGACAATACAAATCTAACAACTATTGTAATAACTTAAATTTTTACCTGAGAACTTCTGGATAATACTTCTTTTTGGATGATTTTTCTGTACAACACTTTCTTCTTTATAGACGAGGTATGCTTTCTTTCGCCATTTTTCCCGTTTAAAAATCGATCTTGAGAAATATCGATTATGTCGAGAATCGTAGGATGTCTGTTGCATATTTCACCGTTGGCGCTGCAATCGCACATTTCGTACGAAATGTTAGCTGGAAATAAAAAATAAAGAATTCTAGGTTAAATCAAAATTCAGAATTGTTAAGAATTATGCAATATATAAAGTTAAAGAATCGACAAATGAATAGAAAATGTTACAGTAGAAATAAAAGCATATTGTATGTAATAATAAGTTAGTCATATTACAATGTCACAATATTTGTATTGGTTAGAATAGAAATTAAATTTTGGAATAAAATTGTAAATAACTTTTAGCATGGTATGTTCTGTTTAAATGTTTATATGCCATTATTTCTTTAATTGTTAAAAATTGTATGTAACAATTATTGAATTAAAATTATATATAATAATTATTTGGTTAAATCTTACCTTCACTTGAAGCCAAAAATGCACGTTTTATTTTAAAGATTCAAAACACAAACGTAAATCTGACATCTATTGATTTAAATTTTTACCTGAGAACTTCTGGATGATACTTCTTTCTGAATGATTTTTCTAAGTAACACTGTTCTTTACAGACAAGGTGTGCTTCCTTCCCGCTTAAATCGATCGTGAGAAATATTGATTGTCGATAGAGAATCATGGGAAGTGAATTGCATATTTCACCGTTGGCGTTGTAATCTTTAACTAATTGAAACCCAATACGCGTGCATTTTGCACGAAATGTTAACTTGAAATAAAAAATTAAAATTAAAATTTAATCTAAATCAAATACACATTAAAATAAATAAAGACGTCATCTAATTCATATCTAATTATATTGTTAAAATATATATTCCAATCAATTTTTTCTAATACTTTTAAATAGATATAAGTAATCAAATATATAATAAATTCTTCACCCTAATTTCCATCAGTCGCTGTTTTAAATCGTTATATTCCTTCATTAATTAAGTACCACCAATTCAATAAATAACTCTCGGAACAACAGATACAGCAACACTGTCCATATTGTTTGATTTTAATTTCTATCGCCAATAGCGCTGTAGTGCAGTGCAATACTTGCCTAAATCGGTACTGCAGGATGTGACACGAAAATGGTAAAGGGATCCTAGCATCCAGAAATCGTAGGATAAAAAAAATATATTGTATGATAGACATAGACGAAGTATTCCTTCATATACCTCATCTAATGGTAGGTCTATTTATATACCTCATCTGTGACTGTGTCTATGGTTTCCTCTGGATGGTAGGATCATTCTCAATATTACCGATTGAAACAGATTATCAAACGACCAAGTTTATCTTCACAGAGTTCGTCTGTGGACAACGCTATCTATTATCGGTACAAATAGATTTAAGCGCAGGAGATAGTTTCATTTGCAAATACTTTCAAGTTCAACAAACTGTATACATTTAAAAATTGAGGTATCATGCATTTATTTTATAAATATATAGTAATTGAAAAAATTTTCTGTATATTTCTAGGAAATATTTAAAGTGATACATGAAGCTGCTTATTTAGATGCATTTATGTAATACGTAAACCGAGTATAAAACTATCTTCAAAGTAAAATTAATCGTTTAAAATATCGTCGTGAATTATAGAAATCTTGCTAGTATAAGTTATAATTAAATGGAAGATAGAGGAAACATGTAAGAGATGTTCACTTAAAAATAAAATTTCGATAAGATTGAACAGTAGAATCTAACTGGTCAAATTGATCATTTTTTTATCTTTTTATAAAAATTTTGTTCACAATGCTGTACTTTTGAAGAGATTGCGAGATATATTTAGAAAGGCAATTTCGTTTTTTTCCATGGAATCTCCATAACCGTTATGTCGACGCAAGATAACAATGCAAACAATTAACCACCAATAAAGCGTTTCCGGGCTGGTTGTGCAACCGAGTATATAGGAACGCGATGAGCATCGTGTATCGCGAGAAAATCGCTTTGCGCGAACATTCAAGGTTCGATCAAAACCATCCACCTTTCGCTTTGATATAATTGCCAGACTGAAGATGCCTTCATCGTCTCTTGTTATTTATCTTTTGCATTACGCAGTTATTGATGACCTTGCGTCTAACTGTATTACGAATTAACTTATTCCATCACGTTTGTCATATATTATAATAAGAATATATCGATGTCAATCTAAACAGAATTCCTATTTTCCAAATAAGATCGATTAAATGCATTTTTCCTAATTCACAATACTTTTGAATGTGCAAGTACTAACAGGTGTAGATGAATACTCGTAAGCTGCAACTTTCTGGATCGTTTGATTATTACGTTGGCTCGTAAAGCATTCGGATGATGGCAGTACCAGCCATGCCTTTGTTAGCCGTAATGTTGGCCAACATGGGTATAATTCACCCCACAGTTTCAACAATCGATCGTCAATTTGCATACGATGAATCTCCTTTCAACCTGCATCGCATTCAATAACGGTGTAAAGTTAATTCATGCAATACGTAAAGATTAATGTTCCGCAGTTACTGTTGTTATACGTCGTCGAAGCTTTCTAACAAATCAATCTATTTAATTACCTTTCGAACTCGTCAATATATTAGCTGTTTTGTCGTGTTAAATGACCAGAATTCCTATTATCTTATTCATTCCAGAGACACTTTTTTCAATATTGTATTCTGTCTATAGACAATATTGGCCAAAGATGTTTTGCTTGCGACAAACGTTCACGGATTGAAAGAAGTCATCAACAATTAAAGAACGGAATCGGCCGTACAGACCTGTAATAGCACCTCATTTTCCCCAGACTAGATAACTATAATTTGATCTTTAAAATTGAATCTTTAATTGCGCGCATCCCATATAACGATGATTAGTTGGCGCCAGTCAGAAAATAAGAATAAAATAACACTCACACTTTCGTACCGACACGCAAATCTCTTCTCTGATCGGTTTTCTTGGGTATTCTTTCACGTATGTACTTATGCCGCGCACACGGAAACGCTCACTTCCTATTCGAAAATAACAATTTGTGTCGAGGTTGCCGCTTGATTATCGGTTTGCGCAGAATATACTCGACGAGAAGAAGCTCCTCACACAGAAATTCCCGGACGATTAATAAAACTAGAGTCTTGAACACGCTTGTTCTTTATCAATTTAAAAACATTATTATTATTGCCTCTAGTATCAAACATTCGTACTACTTGTTTATCTTATTGTATATCGTGTAGACATCAAAACCAAGATTCCAATCACGATGTTACACGATCGCATCGATTAAACTGTCGCGTGTAACAGGATGAATTCGCAGTGGTAATTCTCTCTTTAACGAGTTTCCTGTTTCTCGTAAATATCCGTTTACGTTCGTGCGAATCGGTACACGATCGATCGAATTAGTCAGGCCGAATGTTTGATCGATCCACCTCGACATTGACCTTAAACGTTCATCGCAGTCGGCCATGTCCACGCACGAGAAAGAAAAAATCGTCAGTCGACGAGAAGGCGGCACTAGGTTGCGTAACGCGCGAGATTTCTTAGGAATTAAGAAACGATAAGCGTGATCAGTGTACTTGTCCTGGCAGTTGTGGCCTTTGCTGAAACGCCATTACAAGTAAATCACCTTCGAACAGCGGTGCTCGCGATGCGACAGTAGAAAAATCCCGCCGCTCGTCAGACGATTTTACGCTTAACCTTGTAAGAAGGCCGAATTCTCGGTATAATTTTGCATTCGAGTACAACGTTAATGATTATCTGTAAAAGGAACATGATGTCTGTGGATTTTAAGACACGCAAGAGGCTTATACATTCAAAGATCCTTCCGTTTCTTTCATAATTTCACAAAGAATTTCGATGACGAATAATCAGGTTTCTCGAGCCGATTACCTTCTTTTTTTAGTAAAATAAATTCAATAGATGATCCGTGGAAAAAAACATCATTGATAAATATTTCTTTACCATCAATTATTTGTATTATTATTTAAAAGAGAAAACATATAAGTATTAAAAATGCAGCTAGATTAGTAAAACTTTCAAAAAGTGCACCTGCATCGTTTTAGCTTGTAAGGAGGTGATTATGTAATCTATGGAAAGGATGATCGACAAACATCGAAAACTAATCGTATCTAGTCGAGGATCGAAGACAAGAGAAGCAAATAGATCGACTCGGTCTTCTTCCATATTCGTACCAAATTTTTCATCGTGCAAGTTCAAGGTTCCATGAAGCGATACGAATACTTACAAGGTCATCGAGTGTGCAAATACCGTGATTATAGCCGCATACAGCATGCAGCATGCCGCATTCTCATTGTTGAAGATGAGATAGGATTGATGTAAACGGCACGTATTAAGACATGTCTCAAACTACTTGAGGCAAAGTCTCAACGACCTGCTATGATCCTTTGAATTTTGTAAACGACTAGTAGTGTTTTCGTTGGTAGTAGAGAGTAAGAAACTGCTATTGGATAATTGATACTTTCTTTGGTTCACGATCAGCGTTACTCAATGAGAATGATAGAATTAATCATCGACCGGCTTATTACTCACTCAATTTCGAAATATCCTGCGCTGAAGAAAGAGACAGACGAAACTTTCATGATCCTTTCATTCATAAATCCGTGAGTTGTGAGTTGAGTCTAGCAAGATCAAAGAACACGTCATACTGGTTTCCAACTGATCGCTTTCTTAATTTTCTTCTTCCCCCTTTCGCCTTTCTGTGTGACTACGCGAGCGCCAGTGCATGTATCAATCTTCGAAAAGGATAGTCTTTGAAAAATAATTTTATCATACGTTGTAATTACTCTGCAATGCTGCTCAGTAATTTTCATTGAATAACAGAACATCGTCGTTGGAAAACAAAAATTGAATCTGTATATTAAATTCAGATTCATTCATCTAAACGCGACTTCCTGTTATGCGAAGGAAACAATGCACGATGTAAATAACGAACAAATGAAATTGGCATTCACCATTGATGTACTACTACAATATATCCATTAAATTTATCCTCGACTAGGTCAGTGTTAGCTTCTCATTAGGATCTCGGTTAGTCACCTTCTTTTCCCTGTTTTGAAACGACACGAAGCCACGGTGGTGGCAGATCGTATCGAAAGAATGGAACAACTGTTTTGAGGTCATGGTCGAATTGCACGCCGAGGTGAAATGTATGCCATATCGATTGTCATCGACACATTGCATCGAAACATTGCGCGTACACGTTCGCGAACTACCGCGATAAAAGCCGCGTGTCCGATGACACCGATAACTTGGATGGAAATATCGACCAAGAGTAACCGCGGGTAATTATGCGGACTATTCGTTCCGCGGGTTCCGGTACCAGCGCGTATCACTTTGCTACCATTCGAGCTTGTCGTACCAATACTATAGCGGCCATTTACAAGTGTCGTTCGTTGGTATCTGAATTGCTTGCCGTTTCATTCGTGTATTTACGAAATACGATGGTTAATTGCCATACGAACCATTGGAACAGTCTGCAAACTTAGTTTTGTCTACAGAAAATCGATTTTTAGACCAACAATCAGTCGCGACAGCATAATGGAGCTTCAGAGGACGAACTAATTAAGCTAATTAGCTCTGCTTTTCATTAATTTCTTAATTCATTTCCGCTAAATTCATTCAGTGCAAGAACACAGCGTACATAATGATAAATTCTAAGATTTTGGAAACCAGTGATTATTTATGGAGTTGACCAATACAGAACAATATTTATTACCATTCTCTAAGTCCAACGAAGAGAACTAATCACTGTCCGCTTTAGAAGCTATTAATACAATTACGTAGCTGTACCAAGCGATATTCGTATTCCTTGCTCGCAAAAGACTTATACATAGATAACCAAAATTAATTACCTATTCAGAGGTACTTCCGTGACTCTAATTGACGTCAGAAGTAACTCTTTGCTCTTTGATGTCCTTGGACAGTCAATTGATTTTAGAGAGGCATACACAAGAAAGTTTATTAAAATCTCAGATTGAGAAGCAATCGATTTTTCTTGATCTCACAGGTTGCCTGATTCCCTATATGACAAAAATCGGATCGCTATAATGGGATAATGATGAAAAACTGTCAGACAGCGATCGAAAAGTAACAGGTGGCGGAGAAAATAAACGAGCTACCATTGTACAAACACCAATTATATAAACCGTCTGTCTTCCGACAAGTTGTAACATAAACGATGCTCAACCATACCGGAGAACAAGAGAAGCGCGCAAAACCCTGCTCGGCGACGAATGCTGCAACATTCCAATCCTCAACGACGATCCCTTGGCGAGAGTTGGCAAAAGGGTGCGTCGAAACAATTCCCCGGATACACCTGATCGCGGCAGGGAACCCTGAACGTTTGAGGTGGGAGGTGGAAGGTGGAGTTACGGATGACGAGTCTCGGCCCTGGTAGGGGCTCCTGGCGTCGTTGCGTACCCTGGTAACATTGGACCCCCACTTGCTCGTCCCGAAGTCGGAGGCGCATATACGACAGGCTCGACACCGATATACCCGACAACGACAACGACGCCGACCGGCGACCATCATCCGTCCAAGCGTCTGCAGTTGTTGCAGTCGGCTCACGGCGCTCACCGTCGAGCACGCGACCGTATATAGTTCCAGGGGATTCCCGGCGTTTCCCTCTGTATATTATTCCGTTTGCTTCCTTCGGTACTTCGGCAATCCTCATAACCGGCCGTTTTCCACGTTGCGACTCGCGCCAAGGATAATACCTGTAATCGTTGTTCGCGAGATAGTGAGTCACACAGGTGCCACAAAGCAGACCGGACAAGAGCGATCCGAATTCCATTTCTCCTTCTGTACTTTTTTTTTTCTCTTTCGTGAACGCACACAATCACATTGTGGCACGATCGGAATTGGGAAGACCTGGAACGAACCGATCGACCGGTCCCCACACGTTTCATCCGTGCGTTCACGTCTATGTCTACTCGACAAGTGTTTCGACCATAGTGAGGATACTCTCCCGAAAAGAAGGGAGATCCTCCGTCAAGTGACAGTGAGTAAATCCCATGTGAATTTGGTGTACGAGTCTGAGGATTCCTGGTGCACTGCGGGAGAACCTCGCGAGAGAGCAAGGGAGAAACGTGGTGGCGGAAGAAGATCTCCTCGACGGAATCGATCGGAGAATGTGCATGTGAAATTCGAACAATTCGGAGGGGAAGCGATATATTCACGAAACGAACGCGATCTTCTATCTGACTTTACAATATTCGTCGAGTTTTTGCCTTTCTATTTGCGTAGGATGTTGTTCCTATGAGCGAGCAAGAGTGCGCCCGTGGGAAATCGTGCTACGTACGTTTCGTTCCGCAGACTATTTCCTCTATAGTTTCCATTATTTTGTTTCCCAGACGGACTTTCGATATTTTCGTAGACTCGGTAAATCACCCGACCGATTCCGTTACTCGCGTTCGCGGAAAGTTCAAGGAAATACGAGAACGCTCGCTTGCCAGCTCGCTCGATCGTTAGGCTCGCCCGATCGCTTTCTTAAATCGTTATTTTTAGCGGGGGCCGATTATTTCGCGATCCCGTGCGCTCCATTATATGGTAATTGCCGCGACACATATTCGAGGACGCGGTGTTACTTCATGCTCGAGTAACTGTGACATATTGGAAGCGTAATCGATCAAGCCACGAAGCCCGGTCGCGATCTCTTTCGAACTTCCACGATTTTTCTCCGGCAACAGTCATTAATCTATAAATATTCGTTCGTGACGACCGTGAATCGTCGTTACTCGATTTTCGAAAGAAGAGATTAGCATTCTTTTCAATCGAATTTTCTTTTCCTTTATCTCGCGATACAATTGTCATATCAAATCGTTTGATCACTTTGTTCCTTCACCTCGTGCTCGGCATAGATCATTGATCGTAGACGTTCATTGATCGACGCTCACTGTTTTTTATTCGTGTCTCGTTTAAAATATGAGTCAACGTTGCTTGATATATGAAACGATCGCCGCGAGCAACATTCCAGTCGTTCTAATTTTTGGGATACGCTCGATTTTTATACAATATATACAATTGCGATACATCTGTCGGAGTTTGCAGAACTGTTCTGTCCTCGTAAATCATTGCGTATTGTAGAGTTTAATACGACTCGATTAATATTTACCCGTGCAAGTCCAATAATCGTTCTTTCTGTTATTATTTCCAATAATAATAATCGATGTCTCACGAGCATTATTTATAGGAATGGCTCTCCCAACTGTAACCACAAGATAATTCCTCGATGCCTGAGAAGGTGCAAGAAAATATTCCACAAAACGACTTTAAACGAATTATAACTACGATGCTTAATACCCTTATCGTATTTTACTGAAAAATGTTGAAAGGAACGAAAAGCATGACTCATTGACGAGATGTAGAAAGCTTCGATAAACGTGTTGCACGATCAAACTGTTCGACTAGACGATTTACGATCCCCGTAAAAGATTATCGTATCGACGTCACGTTCGTTTCCATTCACGAATCGATAGGAACAATAAATCACGGTTATCTGGGGGCCAGCTGGAGGTTGCTGCGTACGAATCAACGTCACGTTGCAATAACGGAACTACGTCATAAATTAGCAAGCCAGCCTCGGTAGCCAGGTAGCCAGGACAAAAATCCTAGCCATCTCGCGTCACACCGGTTTCTCCCGTGTTCTCGGCACCGTTCCCTACCACGCGATCCACAAAGGTCAAGTACTTTTCACGCGCAGACACGACCATCCTTCCGGTTATCAACGAGATCCTTATCGATTTTCCTTACGGCACATTCCTCTCAACGAGTCTCTAACTGTTCCAGCGTTAATAGAATCCTGCGATCTTTGTTCACTCTCGTTCTGTAAATGGAATCCTTTGTTCCACGATCTTTTTCAACGCTAATGGAATCCCTTGTTCTTCGATTTAGACAAAGAATCCAGGATTGAAGAGGGAATAGAGAGAAGATTGCCAGCGGGAAAGATCGTTGGATCGTGAATATCTGGTCATTCAGAGTTGAGAAGGAGGGAAAAAAATTATATTACGAGGATTTTTGAGATCCTTCTGTTGAGAAGAAAGTTGGAGGAACAACTTGTCGAGAGAAAGATATAAAAGTGTAGGAGCGCACAAGTCGAAGACGTCGGAAGAGCGAACGTTTACACGCTTGTAAAACGGTGACACGGAGGGGATTTTACATGCGTCATCGTCGTGCGGGTACAAATCGCACGCGACCATACGCTTCGACGACAGTACACGTGTATAACGACGCGCTCGATTGCTCCTGCGAAACACGGGGCTACGATCATCCTTCGAGGATTCACGGTGATAAATGCGGTGCCGGAGATGACGTCCTCCGCGTTCTCCAAAATGACGATCCAGTTGGTCTTGCTGTGCTTGATCGTCACGTGCAATGGTGAGTACATTTCTTTTCTATATTTTGTTCATTGTTAACATTGAGATTATAACGTTATAACGAAAATGTGCAGTTTCGGTTCATTTGTAAAATGGGATAGAAATTTCTTGAAAAAAAAAAGAATGGGATAGAAATAAGTTCGATAACATTAGTTAAAAGTGTGGAATTCAATTCAATAATTGTAACTTAATCATTCTACAAAGACTGCTTTTCGCTGAAAATTCAGTAAGAATCTAAAGTTTGTCAAATTTACATACTGAAATCTCATTGCGTTTTATCAGCAATTATTTCGTCTATATATAAGTAATTCACTTTGTCATAATGGTAGTTTTCTTTTTTTTTTTTTTTAACAAACTGCGTGACGCAAATGTTTGTGTAAGATTAAATAGTTTCGCGTGTATTCATCGTCGAATGACTTTCCGGCGGATCTAAATTCAATTCAATTTTCACGTCGAGAAAAGTCGACGAATTATCGAGAAACGTTAGAGTTACAATGAATCAATGACACACGGATAACTTTCGAATGGCTGCCAATAAATTTTTATTTGCCAGTGCGGCAACAAGAATTTAAGAATTTTAATAATAGAGTGATAATGTCGACTAGTTGACATGGACGAATTAATATGCTAGAAGTCATCATTTTTTACGACTTCGAAGGCCTTAACCTCGACAAGGGCCTTTAGTATTTTAGTGCCATCACAGAGATTGCATTCGAAATGACTAGTACGAGGGCATTGGTTCCTGCTGTCAGTGACACGTAATTTTATGTTTTTATTATTGATCGACAACTGTCGAATATCATTCATTCATTTAATCCACCTTCAATTAGAATTGCACCTACTAAATTTGAATCATTAAAAATCTTCTATCGACACTGCAACGTTTGCACGCGATCTCATTCGGAGATTTTTGAATTCAAGTGATTTAAAACCACACTGAACAATGACCAAGATCTCCAAATATTCTTTGCATTCCAAATGCATTCTCTTTGACACGCAATCTATTAATTAATTCTCTCAACCGAACAAAACATGCAAAGTTACATACCGTGTCCCTGAAAGCGCGTGGAAACCGTTTCTTGAGCAGCATCTTGGCAATGAAATTTCTCAAGGTGATTCTCCGTTGCCGTGTTTCAGAATTTCTATTTCTCTTTCCACGTTCAAGTGGACTTAACACTCGCGCTCCGCGATTCTATTTCATTGAAAACGCGACACGTGCGACTAGTTCGAGCCACGCGAAAATCTGTGTTAATAGATTCGATTCACTTTCATCGAACGTTTCATTAGAATAACAAGCGTCGAACGATTTTTACACGTCGCGAAACTACACAGCATGAAATCACTGTGATCTCGGACGCACTTATTCGCGTAATCAGGACAAGACGCTGAGCATCGCTTAGAATTCTCCACTCTTGCAACAGCTGCAAATCACTCTAGATGATTTCAATATTATTAGAAATATAACTGTAACTGACTATGCCCAGACGAAACGATTTTCAAGTTGGATCAAACGAGCTGCTACTTTGAAGTAATAACTCCGTTTTAGTTACGTAGAATATCTTGCACGTTATAGTGATTTCTTGATTTGGATAGATTTAATTATTCTAGACAGTATATAATCTCTGCTCTAGTATGCAAACTTGAATCAATTTGAGAACAGTTTGGAACATCGTTGGCTGTTCCAAACTCACGTCAATTGTGCCATTTGCTAGAAAGAAAATCAATATACAAGTATGTGCAGTTAGTTCATTTTTATGCGAACATTTTTACATTCTGTAAAAAATTATTCATTAGAACGTTCCGGCAGAATAATAACAGAACTATAAAAGAACGTTATACATATGTAAGATAAAAAAAAAAAAAAAAACGAAGTAAGTGGGACTGAAATTTCCAGTAACACAGTTAGCTAGATACCGTAAAGAAATTTTGCATCTCGACTACAGTTCGTTACTGGGAATCGAAGCGATCGAGCGTGAAGAACTTGAAACGATCTCTGGACCATGTACCGTGAATCACCCGGAGAAAGAGGAATCCGTCCGTTTACTCGTCGGAATTTTACTCGTATAATTAACAAGTCACGTAAGAAACTCAATTTCTAATAATAATCGACGCATCGATGAGAAGAGGACAAGTAAAAAAAAAAAGAGAAAAAATACAGTCAAATATATTAAAGATATCGAAGATATCAAAACACAAACGAAGAAAAGAAAAGAAATATCAGTTTCAAGAGATAAACTCTTCGAACTGACGAATAATAATGCGGATCACTTTTGCGAAAACAATCATCAATTACTGTGATAGTAATATTGTTCGTGAAATATCTGATACATCCAGAATTTCGGTGATGGATCTTTTCTCGATCGTTTTTCTCTGAACGCGTTCTCGTAAAGCATCCGCAGCATGGCCAGGGAGCGGCGTGCTCACACGAGCCGAAAGAACTGGTTCTTCTGCGGAGGGTGGTTAAACTCGATGCAATGCGTGCATTTAGTGAAACATCGCTCTGGAATGCAAACACGTGGGGAAGGGTAGGAACCTGCATGGGAACTATCGTACGATCCTGCGTTGAAATCCACGCCGCTGAATTTTATGCATCCACGGACACATTCGTTTCGCTCTCATCGAACTTAGCCTCTTTCCTCGAATTTTACGTAACGCTCGGCCATTTCAAATTATTTGACGTTCTCCATTTTCTGTAATCCCGTGACACTCTTTACGCGTTGGTTTCTTGAATAACGAACAATGTGATCAACAACGAATAAATCGTGATGTTGGTGTAAATTTCAGAATCAGTCATTTACCTTCTAAAGCGAAAATGCACAATTCGATAAATTTCCAAGACGCTTCGTTCATCGTTCTCGCCAATTTAGAATCCATCGATCGAACACGTGCTGATTTTGTAATAATATATTTCTCGAGAATCCTCGTCTCAAGATACACGGAAATTATGAGTTTACTTAGTCTGGCTAAGAATAATTTCAATCAAAAAGAATTTATCGTGTTTTCTTGATCAACATCGATTTCGAACTCTCCGATCTTCGTTTGCGAATCACCTTATGTGCAAAGAAAAAAAGATGGAGATTTGATATACGAATCAATGAATCTTTGCACTTCCCAGAAGTACTTAATACAAGCTACTACATATAATATAGCTTAATACATAAACGATACATGCCTGAAAAGAGGCATACATAAAGTGGATTAAAGTAATTTGATCTTCGCGAGTCTCGATTTAACCGGTCTGCCTCGGCGTCGATTAAACCGCGGTTAATCGAGATCTCATTATATTAACGTACAGCTCTGAAACACAAGGAAGCTCGGGAAAATTCTTCGAACGAAAAGAAATATCCTGTAGAAATTTTTTCTTTAAAATCATTCTTCTTTGAAACACGATTCTTTACAATTTTTATCTTGGCGCCTGTCGAAAAGCTTTCTCCGCCGATCCTTTGATTGAAAGCTTCGAAAGAATCGATTTGGAGACTAGGTCGAAACCTTTCCGGGAAACCTGACCGTGGCAATCGTTTCCTCGAACGGTATTTCTTCCTTGTCATCCCGATTCAGAGTTATCGAGAATGGAAAAGATTTCGTGAAAATTAAACTGATGTCGCTGTTGCTCGTTAAGCTGGTAGAAGTAAGAATATAGAAGTTGGAGCTTTCATTCTTTCCAATCGCCATGACGTATAATTATATTTCATCTCGTGCGTTGAATCGTATGTGTAGATAAGACACGTTGCGAATTGTCTGAAACAGCAAGAGAGTCAGCTCCACTGACTTTCAGTTTTACGTCAATTATATTTCTGTAATCGCAGATACGTTTGTATCTTTCAATTTTAGTAATTTATAAAAAGAAGATTCCTTAGAGGAGAATTAGGATCGCGAGTGGCCTCATTTTCATTTTTTTTTTTATTAGTGAAAAAACAACATCAATGTTAGCTTTTGATTTCCTTTCACGTGAAAACAAAATTATTCGACGCTCGTTTCCGCAGAGAATAATTGCAGACAAATTTCACAATCGAGAAACACTTAAGTAGGTTACTCCAAAAAGTATGCCCGTCAGAAGTTGATAAATCGTTTGAAAGTTTACCGGTAACATCTTAGATATTATCCCGGAACGATTATCTACACGCGTTCCTCGAAGAATAGTTTCTTGAAACTCCTGGTGCAAATATACATTTTCCAGTTCGTAAGTAGGTACATATTGGCGAAAAATACTAACCAAACATTTCAACAAGTCAAACTTCATGCATTCTCTTAAAATACATATTCTTCGAGAACGTTGTTGAAATAACACTCCCGATATCCATAAATATCACTAGTATCCTCTGAAATTCAATTTCCATGAGTCATTGTTCGATTACTGTCGCGAAATCATTTTTGTTTTCGAAACGAAGCTCGAGATATGTTCAAGGAATTTCAGTAATCTTCGATGCGAAAATCTTGCAAAAAGACAACGCCCAATGGACGTATTTCGAATTTCGCAACGTCCTCTACGTAAGAAATGAAATCGGCTGGTGTCTCTGATCATCCTCTCGGAGATATCGACGGCAGGTTAGCGACCGCTGTTGCACGTTCATCGGCTTGTTCTTAATTACAGAACGATCGAATCTTCGTTTTTCTGCGTTCCTCTCTTCACTTGCGGCTGTTTCTCGTCACAAGAAACGACTGGCCTTCTCTTATGGTCGATAATCTTGGGATGGGATTCCATTGTTGTGGAATTAGTCACGATGAGACCTGCGAAGATACATCCGGGACGTGTAGCTGAGCCAGCTCGAATTCTTGAAACGCCGATATTTTAATCGCTGGGATTCCATTTCATGGTAGGATACCACTCGCGGTCACTTGACCGATAAATCATTTGATCGACCCACAAAAAGATCGTGTCACATGGTTAAACTGGTGAGTAATAATTAAAAAAGAATTGATATTTGACATCAACGTGGCAAAGAGATGTGTGTGAAATTAAATCGGAAAACTGGAGGAATTGCGGCGAACAACGATCGAAAATTACGTGGCGCAGTATCAAGGACGCGATGAAGAAAGTAAGAAAGTACAAAGAAAGTAAACGGTAGCCTTGGAACTGGCTGAATGAGTATGGAGTGGCTTAGATGCTGCGCGATCGCGTCCAATCTTGCTTTTCCTTTCTTTTTTATTCTCTCGTTTCGAAATTCATTGTTCTATCATATCCTCGATGAATGCTTTTCATCGAGCATTACAATAAATGAATTTCATTGTTCTTTCCAATGACAAACTTAAAGAGGTAATCGGCGAAATTGTTGGAAACGTACTGCGTTGGATTTATTAATATTAAATCAGATGGTAACACCTGCTCACGTGTTATACCACCTTGTGCAATAATTCTCACGATCCACAAAGGTAAATGACGATGGAAATTGGCCACGTCACAGTTTTGAATTAGTCTAGTCTTAAATAGTTGAAAGAAACGAGGAAGCGATGGCTTAATAACTACGTTGTACTGAAAGCCACTGTTACTTGAGAGAAAGTTTTTCAATAAAATCTCGGTTATTCTATACATTATTTTCTAACATTTCACATGTATTTCCAAAAATATAAGATAAATTACAGAAAAATAATGGCCATTAAAAACATATACTCTACACTTTTTAACTCAGAGAAGTATGTTAATTACACAGATCATTCGAGCTAGCAATACGATTATCCTAAATATCAACTACAAATTCTGAAGATTATACATAGTGAATATGGTAAAGTTATGTTGTCAGTTACTAATACGTGAAAGCAACACGTACATTCCTCGTAAAACGCGGAATCGACGAGTATGTCAATGGTAAAGTGGGAAACGACCTTCCAGTGTCAGCGACCATTCTTTGCTGGTCTTGAGGACGAGTTTCGCCGCACGGCGAATGTAACGACACATTACCAAGGACCAAGTTCGGCACGAACGCGTGTTACATACCATGGTCACGTAGAAAGTGTGGAACGGTGCACACGATAGCTCTTTCATTCAGAGAAATTTGACCGTGATCGTTCGCCGGACAAAAACGGCCGACTTTCAATACAATTAACGATACGAGCTATTTCGAGATAGTTCTACCAAGTTCTTACGTCTGTTTAACTGTTTAACGAGAAGTTGCTCATTAACTAGAAAATTCTGACGATATCGTAATAATTAAAGAGATAAGATTGAAAAGTGAAATGGAGAAGTGAAAATGGAGAAGAAAGTAACAGGAATATAAAAAAGAAAAGAGGAATTATCAAAACTCAATTTGATTGTCAATGAAATGGTAGAACTTGTTGTAGAATAGTTGATTTGGTATTCTAAACACAGTGTATCGAATCGACTTTTACAACGCTAATTCTCCGTGGTTCCCTCTTTTAGCAAATATTTTATTATCGATCCGTCCCTGGTTCTATTTGCACATGGCGACAGACGCGCAACGCAAGGCGATTGTCTACGTGACTGTCGTAGCTTCCTGCCCGATGTGTCCCACATATATGTTCAACCGAGTTCCTTCGAATCATGCTGCGATTCTTCATCGAAACGCGGATACTGATCACTTTTTTGCTCTCCCGAAACCCACGAAAATTGGACCAGAATCAAACGAACATGCATTAGCATTAGACAATAAAAACTTCCGCACAAAGTTTTTAAAAACTACTGCGAAAAACAATTAAATTCTAACAAAATTATTCTGCGAATTCTTCAATTCCCAAATGCTGTCTCAAAAAAATTTTTATGTGAGAAGCAACAGTTAACAATTTGATATTTCTGGAATTCTCAAACACGTTTGACAACCTATGAGGCAATTTTAATACGTGACTTTCCTTTTCTACGATCTTGCTAAACGTCGCTAAGTTATCGTACAGTTCGAAATTTCATTGAATTTAATCTCTGAATTTCATCGTGGCGATCTTATTGATAGGTATACCGGTGCCAGAAGAATCTGATGACGTTGCAACGATCAATGCTACCACGATCAGCCCGATTTCTATGGATCCCGAAATTCAAGGTCATTCGATGGACGATATCTTGCCAGGAACAAAGACGCCACAGAGCCCAGTAATATTCGTGGACGTTCCGGAGCACACGGAAACGGAACTCGGCTCGTCCGTACTTCTGGCGTGCCGAACCGCTAATCCTGTGGCCGAGTGTCAATGGTCCTGGCAACCTTTACCGCCGGTCCACCTGCCACTTCCGGATATCAGCGAAACTCCAGCGACCAGTTAGTTATCATTATCATCCCTTTTTTTCGACGATAACTACAAGTATTATAAAATAAATTTACCCTTGATCGGGTTTCTAGATACTAGATTTCGATTTTGTGATAAAAATAACCGAGAGTAAGATGTTCCCTTTTTTCATTTGTTTCGATTACGACGGAGACTTGATAGTGAGACAAACTTTCGATACCAGCTCCGTTGTTTTCCATTCGATATTCACGTGCCGCGTATTTATCGTAGTTCTCTCGTAATTTATAGCCACCACAGTCTCGGTGATTCAGACGACAACCACGCCGACTACCAATCCACTGCCGGTACGACAATTTCCTGCCTTCGGGAACAATAGCAACGACTGTTCCGTAAGATTCTCGAGTACGAAGCACGAACAGACCGGATACTGGAGCTGTGCCGCGAGAACTTCCACGAATGATCCTTTCACCAGCACGGAACCTGCTAAGCTGAGCATCGTTAATGAGCAACAGAGTATGGAATGTTGATTGTCTCTTCTGTCCTTCTAATTCGACATCCGTGCAATTACGTTAAATTTCCTGAAACTCAAAGCTTGTCCATTAGCTGACAATTAAGTAGTAATTAAGTAGGAAATAAGTAAGAAACAGCATGATGAATATTGATATTTGTAAATGTCCAGATCCCCTGGTCGTATTTGCGAAGCTCGATAACGTGGTCGAGGTACCAGCAGGATCTTCGGCGCAAATAATGTGCCAAATGAAATCATCCGTTCGCGAATGCCAATGGTCCTGGAGGCAGTTGAACCAATCACAACCGTGGAATCTCGAGGTGAAGCGATTTCCAGCTTTCGGTAACGACAGCACCGACTGCAGTATCAAATTCAAAAACGTGCTGCCGGAGCAAGAAGGATACTGGACCTGTGGCGCCAGAATCGATCCGAATTCATCGTTCACGCAGTCGAATCCCACTCGATTTCTCATTTCAGAAGGTGAGAGTTACGAATTCTTTTCATTAGCTCAGCGTGGCAACGTATACAATCAGTGAGAAACATTAGAAAAAAACATTGATTTTGTTTCGCAGTTGAATTCGTACAATTATCTAGAGGAATTCAAGTAGCGTCTGGTGAATCGGTGCTCCTCAGATGTCTGGTTAACAAACAAGTGGTACAATGCGAGTGGTCCTGGAGGGCATCTAACTCGAGTCAAGAACCTCTGTTAGTCAAGAAGTTCAATCCGAACAAAGATGCTGATCATGACTGTTCCGTGAGGTTCAAGAATGTCCTGTATGAGGAGGAAGGGCTGTGGACGTGCGGTGTTCGACTGTCACCAGATGGAATTCTTCACGAAGCGCCACCCGCGACTGTTAGCCTCTTACCTACAGGTACGAATACCTAATTTCTTAAAGAAATTCCTTAAATTATCCCAAACTCAACAAGCGATTTCTTCGTGCATTCTCAAAACGTAGGTTTAATCAATTGATTTGTCTCGATCGGTGTTTCAGCCAAAGTCAGCTTCGTTGAAATGCCGGCAGACACTTCCGTGCCAATTGGTACGGAGGCCACGTTGAAATGCGTAACGAGCAGCCGCGTGGAAAAGTGTACGTGGACCTGGAAACCACTTCACGGAAACGAACCAGAAATTATTGTTCAGGAATACTCAAGCAACGGCGACCTTGGTAGAGATTGCTCGCTGAAGTTGCCGCGAGTATATGCCGAAAAACAGGGTCAGTGGGCTTGTCAAGTGTCGATCAGCTCTCTCAATACCATGCTGACCTCGCCATTCGTGAAGCTCACCGTGTTCGAACAAGGTATCTTCGTTTCTATCCTCTTACATTTTTATCCTCGAAACTTCTGAAACTTCTTACTCCAAATATATCGTTACGTTCAATTTTTAGACGAAGTGAAATTCTCAGAGCTTTCCCAAGACATCCAAATATCAGCCGGAGGAAGCGTTTTCCTTCACTGTGTGACCTCGTCAGCCGTCGAACAATGTCGATGGTCCCTGACGCCGGTGAATTCAAACACCACGGTAGTAGTGAAACAATTTCCGGCTGCCGGAAGCGAGGCCAGGGACTGCAGCGTCAGGTTATCGCACGCACTCGCGGAACAGGAAGGACTATGGACTTGTGGCGTCAAGTTGCGCGGCAGACAGAACTATACGGATGCGCCTCCGGCCAAGTTGAGTCTCCTGGAACCAGGTATCATAGAATCTTGAGACGGATTCGCGACATTCCTTTCCTTTCATGGCTGAGAGTGTACAGAAAGCAATCGATCGGCAGATCCACAGATCTCTGATCGATTTTTTCGCCTCGCGATAAATATTCGTAGCAACTTCGAATCGTGGTCGTCGATCGGCCATAGATCTTAAAGAATATGCAGCACTAGCATATATTATGTATATATTAACAAATTACGGATGAGTCCATTGACTAGAACCATACGGTTGTAGAAGTTAATCAAATTGCCGGGAAATGATGTCGAAAGAAATTTATCACCTCGACGAACGTGTAATTCGAGACTGAAAACGAATGATAAAGATTGCATGTATCGTCGAGGAAGGTCGGCTCTTTGTTATTTATACAGAGAACGATAGCGTTTTTCCTACCGAGAGAATCGATCGTCGCCGATTCATCTCTTACGAAAACCATGATATTAACGACTGCTGTGACAGTATGCTGATGAATATCTTTGAATATTATTCATCTCATTTTGCTTAGTTGCAGGCAAAATTTCTATAACAAATATAACTTGATAGTCTTCTTACATGTTCTCTTTTTCTTTTTTTTATGTAGATATGAAATGAAAAGAATGAATATATATACATTAGAAAAAGAACTTCAATATTATTTCTCCGGCTTCATTCGGATATTTTAATGTTAAGTGACTCATCCCCTGCAATATATACATGATGTATCGTGTAACAAACATTAGCATTTGTGATCGATATGAAGAATCGTTTGGAAGAACGTCACTGAGGAAACACATAGAAAAAATAATAACTAGCTTTTAAAACATTGAGAAAAATCGATCGCATTGTTGGACTACATGTCAGAAAGTCTTAGAATATAATTGAAGACCGCGCGGATATGATCAAAGGAATAATTCGTAACAAGAACAAAAATAATAATCGATCGTCAATTGTGGTACTATAGACGAGAAATTGATCGCGTCTAAGTTCTTCGAAGACTGTTGTGGGTGAAGGCATCGTGTTGGTGATGGAATCTATATGATGTTTCATACTGATGTCAACCTCTCTGTGACGACATGAATGAGTCATCAGTCACATATATATTATAAAAGAGGTAGACATATGTATAAAAAAAAAGTATGTCCGTTTCAGTTTGCAATTTTTGTTTAAATGAGATTTATCATGTCCGATTTAGCATTTTTTCCTCAATTTTTTCTAAGGAATCCATTGTTATGTTTGCAACAATAAGATTCCTTAGTCGTTACCTAGCGTACTGTTACCGTATATACTGCATTTGCATCGATTAGTGTTAGATCATCTTAATTTATCGTTGTCTTGCTCCATTGTTTCCCTTGCAATTTCTTGATAAACCTCCACGAGGATTTATTAGATCGTTATGCCTAGCTAGTCGAAACCTGGCAATTAATGAGCAATTAATTATGCCGTCCGGTTTTCTCATACATGTACCATTAAAATGAACGTTAAATGGTAAATATCCAGCGAGATTGTGTTCCATCAATAATAATTATTTCATCCGTAATCATTAAATTCTTTATCTTATTTGTCAAGCACGCCATCATGCATCTCTCTGTGCTCACTAAACTACATTTCAAGCGTAATGTCTTTTTTTTATCCTCGTCGATGGCACGCTTAAGAAGCTCAGCTCACTCGTTAAATAACATCTATCACTCAATGTCATTCACCCTTTCTTATTTATATGCTCAACGGCAGGTCTACGCTCAAATGATTTCGCATTTAGCATAGTTAGTAGCCGCGTTAGTAGGTACACGAAACCGTATTGTGTGTGTAAGCCTTTTTGCGAGCACTCTGGCACATTTATTATCATTCGTCGTATTATTTATTGTCGAAAGTCGCTATTGACAGGGAAAGTGCTCGAGCTTTGAAAAAATGATCGCCATCGAAGTTCGCCGACTTATAATCCGTCTCCTTTTCTTTCTCCTTTCTTTTTTTACTTCTTTAACAAGACGGTGGATTCGAAAGTTTTTTCAAAGCGATGCCGATTAATTCAAGACGTTTTGACGAACAGCAGAACAATTCCACAAATTGCTCTGCTGCAAAAGAGTAACCAGGGAAAAAGCGTTCGTGCTCTTCGTTCGTCCTCACGCGTAACTTTAGATCTGAGACGCGTTAGCTAGTAACTATTTAAAAAGACTACTCATAGGAATTCTAATGTTTAAGGCTAAGAATATTTATTTGTTAAGCGAAATAGGTCGTTTAGAAGACCCCAGTTAATAACGATTAGACTCATCACGGAACCGTTAACAAATCAGTTGGCTAATCTGTGGTCAACGTGTTGCTAAACAAGAAGTCAACGTACCGATGACATTACGAAGATTACATAATAAAATTTTTTTTTTATTATACGATACGCACTTTCTACATACTCATTATATTAAATTACATGCTAAAATTAACTCTAAGTAGACAATTCTTACTGTTAAGCGTCCCGTTTGAGATGTTCACCTTTGTTTCCGATAATGTGACATTATCGTTACCGTCGCTCGATCAGCCATCACTAAAAAAAAAAAAAAATTAATTACGTTTGAATCATTGTAATCGTTAAAGGCACAAAAATAATATCGATATTAACATATCTTTAAAGAGGGAATTCTAATTGCGACATTGTCGTTCAAAGAGTCCCAGCTCAATACAAATTGCGTGCAATAATCAAACGTAGAACGCTTTCGTTCGAAGCTAACTAATATCTTTCTGTGTGCCATTGAGTTACTGTTAAGTTCAAGAGTATACAAAAATCTGCACCGGGATGTGATCGTTGGATCGTCGTATGTTTCCACGCGCGTTATTCCTTGAATATCAGTTTCTCCGGCATTGTAAACCATTTCTTTAAATAAATGATAATACGAAAATGTCATTTCGGTCTTTCTCATTCCCATTGCCTTTAATACTAACACATGTACACCGGACATTCATAAATGTAGGTATCATTAAAATGTGGTGTTTTTGAAATTTGAAATTGATTGGTATTTTTGAAAATATAATAAATCACCGATGATATATATACCATTAATGTAATCAACACGTCCCTTGTTATATGTGAACACATTACACACTCGACATTTCCGATACACACATTTTTCACATTCTGTATCCTAACAAAAAACTCTATCACATGAAATTTGCTTGTGCACGATGCGAACACGATGTACACGCATTGACATGTATTCCGAACCCAGAGGAATATGCACTACGGAAGAAGAGACATCAACGCTTTCGGTGATTGGACTAGAAATGAATGAATAAAACAGAGCAGTGATTACAGAAAAGATTAATGATTTTTAGAGCCAGTAACTGTGGCATTGTGGGCTGTGCCCCATCAAATGGTCACTCTTTCGTGCAAAGTAGAAACTGCGTTATCGAAAGTGCAATGCCACTGGATTCATGCGCCGAAAATCCACATTTATCAGAATATGAGTAGAACGAAAAGGTAACCTCTTAACATACAAGATTCACAAAACTGAGAACATCTTTCATCTTTCCTCCTTTTTTTCAATTAATTTTTAGGCACAACATACAAATGGATTATCATACAGGCATATGTACTTTGGAATTCAAACCTGATCATTCAGATTTGGGAAATTGGGTGTGCAAATTTACTGTTCCAAACACTGATGAAGAAATTGGAAGTGCAACACTTGTTCTGTTGAATAGTCTTGCCGGTGCGTATTACTAGTTTTCCTTATGTTATTAAATTAAAGATGAACGTTATCTATAAATATAATTTTATTTTTAACTCAATGTTATAGATGAAAAATTAGGATGGATCGTAGGTGCTCTAACGACCTTGATTTTATTTCTAATGATTATTATAGTTGTTATAGTCGTTTGTAAAACACGTTTATTTGTAAGAAAGTCATCACGAGTTTTAGAAACTATTCCTGCATCAGAGAAGAAACAAAATTTGCAAGCGAATAATGAACAGTATACTGAAAATTCATCGAAAGCAGATATACAAGTTTCTGAGCCAAATCAGAATGCAACAAATGTCGATAGTGTACTTCCTAATAGAAGTCCACAATTTTACGAGCGTGTTGGAAAATACAGAAGATCATCAAAAGTATATGAAAATCTTCGAATATGAAAGAAACTTGATCTTTTTAAAGTGTATTATGCAATTAAAATTAACTTGTAAAACAAATGTACTAATAAATAAAAAACAAAAAGAAACATAACAAATTAAAAAATATATAATATAAGAAAAATTTTGTTACCATAATTGTGTACACTATTTGAAAGCATCTAATTGGGATTGTATTTTTTCTAGATTATTATATAGATCTATGAGTTCTTTCTTATCAAACTCCACTGTTAATTTAGATTCTTCTTCTCCTGTCAAATTTAACTGCAATAACGACATTGGTCGCACATCTTTTTTAATGGAAGAAGATGCAGCTTGAATATTTAAACACCAATCAATGTCTTTAACCTAAAATAGAATAAATTAGTATAAAATATATGTTATTATTTCTTATCACCATATTGTCTCATACCTGAACAGGAAATATAGATATCTGTCTAAAATGATCAATTATCCCTTTACCATATGTAATCCATGCATTTAAAAATATTTGGACTTTCTCATCATTTATCTTAAAAGTGTCCTTCAAGGTACTTTCCATTAACTGTGGTTTTATAATGTTGCACGTAGCTTGCTTATAAATTAATATTATCGTATCTAAAAGACAAACTAAATCATCCTTATTCACATCCAAGGACACCAATAGTTTCTCCTCTTCTTCTTCACTGAATATTCTTGTATTAACACTCAATTGAAGTGTCTGACAAATGCGATTTATTAATAAACGGAATTTACTGTTATCTACTTGATTTGTTATTTTCAAACCTCGTTCAAGTCTGAAACAAATGACATAGGATTAGCTGGAAATGAAATATTAAATCACTGCGCTACCAATCTAAAATTCATTACAAATTCTGTTGATCAAACATTTAAAAAAAATAATAATATTAATTGCAATGAATTAATTTAATGAAAATGTATAATTTAAATATTACCGCGGTGTCACCGTAATCCACGAAGCCATGTTACTTGACACATTTATAGGTTATACAACTAATTTGAGTATAAAAAAATTGAAAAAATCAATCAACATGATTTAATATCATATCTTTAACGTCAATTTAATTAAGTAGCACTAAAATGTTCAAAAATATCAATTAGTTGAGTGTTGCATTTTTATATCACGAATTATGCATATATTTAGATGAGTATATCAATATTTGACTCTGCACTTGACAATTCTAACATTGATTAAAATTTGTTCTACATTTATAAATTACACAATATACATAAAAACATATTATAATCAAAAAGAAAAAAACAATTTCTCCATAGACCGGTTTTCTTTTAAAAACAATAATATATGGTCTATTTATTACACACAGATTAATGCACGTGCGCACACCGTGATCATTATATGTACTGAAGTAGATAAGAATTGTATGATTGCGAAGAGCATGTCACAACATTAATTTCAAGTTTTCCAGAATTGTTAATGATGTCCTCAGATGAAGCTAAATACGATAAGGTATTATTTAATACAATTATTTTTTAATATTACGGATAAATATTATAACTGTATTATGTGTAAGTTTAATACGTTTTTTATTTTGTAGGAACATCCACGAATTTTGATTCCTGAACTATGTAAACAATTTTATAATCTAGGATGGGTAACTGGTACTGGTGGAGGAATATCCATCAAACGGGGGTAAATATTTTTTAATTATAGTCGATATTAAAATTGTAAATTGTATTAAAATTATAACCGGTTAATATTTAATAATATTTTTAGAGACAAAATTTATATTGCTCCTTCCGGTGTTCAAAAAGAACGTATCTGTCCAGATGAAATGTTTGTACAAGATATTAGTGGAAATGATTTAGAATTACCACCAAAAGAAAAAAAATTAAAGAAATCTCAATGCACTCCATTATTTATATGTGCATATACAAGGAGAAATGCTGGAGCTGTAATTCACACTCATTCAAAATTTGCTGTAATGGTAACATTACACTGGCCTGGAAAAGAATTTCGTGTTACTCATCTTGAAATGATAAAAGGTATATTAAATTATATATACAATTATATATATGAATGCATTTTTTTATTTATTTATGAAAGTATATCAATATTATATAATGTAGGAATAAGGAATCAAAAATTGGGAAAGGCATATCGTTATGATGAAGAATTAGTAGTGCCAATAATAGAAAATACTCCATTTGAAGAAGATTTAAAAGATGAATTAGATAAAACTATTCTTGCCTACCCCGAAACTTGTGCCGTTTTAGTAAGAAGACATGGTGTATATGTTTGGGGAGATACATGGCAGCAAGCAAAAACTATGTATGCATTAATTTAATACTAACTTGTCTTTTTTATTTTTACTCATTAAATATTTTTTGTTTAGGACGGAATGTTATGATTATCTATTTGACATAGCTCTCCAAATGAAACTAAGTGGATTGGATCCAGCTGCAATTCCAAAAAAGTTATGAAGAGTTATAAATTAATAACAATATCTTCGTTTATTATTTTTAAATAATAAATTACCTTTTCTATATATTTTACAAAAAACCATATGTTACAATATAATCTTTGTACATCTTTAAGTATCTAAATCAAATGGTTGAAAATCTTTTCTAATTCGTTTTGCTAATTCAGTTTCTTCCTCTTGATCCAATTGACAATCTTTCCAATCAATTCGATCGCCAAGATCTAATATTCTATCTGAAGCTAATACTTCCCTACCAAACTGTAGTGGAAAATCTTTTTTTATTCTACAATATAGTTTTTCTCTGCTTGGCAATTCTGCATAAAAATATAGAACACCTGGTTTTGCAATTTGCTGTAAATCTGTGTGTGAAGGTAATTCTGTTATATTAAAATTATTACATTCTGCCATTTCCTAGAATAAAAATGTTATTAAAATATATATGTTAACACATTCTTAAAATAACTAAACATTAATAGAAATGCTTACTTTAAATGTTTCTTTCAAAGCTGGTGCTTGATTTTTATGAACAGGTACAACTTGCAATTGGCAATGAGATGTTTTGAAATTACGTTCAAAAAATACAGGTACTTTATCCATAGTGGCATAGTATTTGGTTATTGCGTTCTTATACTGTTCAATTTCATCGTTTACTTCTTTTGGTAGAATAGACAGGCTTTGATGATGGGTTATTGGTAGAATTAGAAAATGATTCTCAACTAGTCCACCTCTAGCAAGTGCAACATATACTTCTGTTCCAACAGATATTACTAAATGCTTAGAAACTTCAGGACTGGATAAACAAAACCAACACTTAGCTTGATCAAATTCGCGTTTTGGTTTTTTGTTTGGACCTCCAGAAAATTTTGATCTTTTAGTAGACTCTTGAGATTCCATGTCATAAAAAAACTGTGTATGTTTTGGTTGTTCTAATTTTGTTCTTGATGGTTCACTTGATAGCATTGATTTGGGATATGGAGAATTTGTTTCATCTGTAGTTTTCATAAGTAACTCAGATAAACGAGATCTGTCAACAGGTGTTAAATGCAATGCGTACAACCATTTCTTTTTTTGACTGTTTATCACAGGTGCAAGTGCTATAAATCTTGTTGCAATTTCGATATTTCCTTCTTGTAAACTCTGGTTCCTAAAAATTAAATAAATAAATAAAACTTTATGTTAAATCATAAAAGTATATATATCTTTAATATTAATAATATTTTTGTTTACCTGTATGGAGGTCTCTCATAATGAATACCCTCCAATGCTGAGACATGATATCTTGGTTTTACTTGAACAGCCAACCATGCAATTAATTTTGAACCATGATATTTAAAGTTTGGTTTATTAGGATCAAAATTTGTAATATCAGTAGGCCAGGGAGAGCTCATCAAAATGTCAATTCCACGGAAACTAGGTTGGCCTTTCAAACATGCCTGTTTAATTGATATTACATCATTTTCATTGAAGTACACAGGATTTACTTCTGAAGAATTACTTTCTCTGCCACTGATGTAAGCTATTTTAAGTCCAGAACTAGCAGTGTACAATCCGCGTTTTCCAAGATAAGTAAGATTTTGACATATTTCGCAACCATCAATGTCTGGATAATTATTTAAATCACTATCCCTGTTTGCACCAATAATATAAGTTGGAACTGGTATACTTTTTATACCATTCTTATAGTCTTCAAGTTCTGCGTTGTTTTTGCCAAAAAAATTACCCACGCATAGCAGAAAATCGAAAGGTCCACTTTTCTTATTGATAGCATCAATTTTATTAAATAAAAATTTAAAATGACCTTCTACATCTCCACACATTAATACCTTTTGTTTTTCAGTCATATTTAATAACATAACCTCAACTTCATTAAGCAGATATGTATATATATATATACTATTAATGCGACCAAAAAATTGTGTTAAAGATTTATAAATTTTACAATTAAGATAACTTCGTACTATTATTATTTTATTATTTTCAACTGTGTAAAACTAACACCTCATTATTAACGTCTCTGTGTTTTAACTGATAAAAATTGGAGGGAACTACGGAAATAGAAAGGAGTCGAGAATCATCAGTAATATTAATCAGTGTATCATGAAATTATAAATTAGATTTCATGTAATTTCGTATAATATAGAATATTGCTTGAAATTTATATTTTACATTGGTTCTCTGTAATAGTGGGACGTGTAACAACTAATAATAATAAAAGAATTAAATAAAAATTCATATTCATAATTACGTACAAAATTTCTGGTTTTTGAACAATTTTTCAAACCGAAATTTTGAATGTAATTTACAAGGAATTAAATATGATTCAAACGAATATGTATTTTAATTTATTGATTAGAATTTATATATCTTTACGCATTTTGAAGATTAACTGAAACATAGGAAGAAACGGTTTAATTCCAAAGTTACAGCTGTAAAAATTTACAAATCAATCTTCTTAATTCGTTTCTTTTGCAAACAAGCGCATATTTAATCAATCAAATGAGATAAGAAGCGTATGGTGTACGACAAAGACGGATATATATCATACTGCCATCTAGGTACTATACTGTCAAATTCGAGTAGAACTAAAAGTATAAGAAATTTCCGACAGATGGCAGTATCTGTCTTGTTCGTAAACAAGGAGCACAATAGTATGCGATAAGGACAGCAACGGTTTTTAGTTTTATAGTTTCACCGTTACGCGGTGCTAGCATTTCAATGTTCATCCACCGATAAAAATTTCATTTGTAAAAGAAATTAATTAAAAGGATTAATTTATGAACTTTGGCAATTATATCTTTGACTTTAGATCTTAAGTTCTATTTGAACAAAGGTTTGAAATTTCTACTGAATAGATGGAAACATGCTGTTGGTTAGACAAGGAGAGCTATAATGTGTGATAGGGATAGATTTATATTGTGTCGAAATATTATTATCCACAGCTTACTCCCTATATTTCCATTTAATCTACAAAATATAGAAATAAAAATTTATAAATTCTACACAATATATCGAAGCATTAACTATACAATTACACATTCAATTTTATATAAATTATGTTGCAAATTTGAATGAAAGTTAAACGTAGACATAGTTGAAAGTATTAGCTTTGAAATGCATAATCAAAAATATTTTGTTCAGAAAATAAAAAAGTAAATTTACAACTTTTTGATTATATGTGAACTTTTTTATCTTGTGAATAAAAATTGTACTCGTTTAATCAAGTTGTTTATGCAATCTTGCACTAAAGTCAGAAAATATTAAAAATATAATATAATGTAACTAAAGATATAACATATCTTGAAATAAAGTTACTGCTTCAATCAGTTTCAATGTAATGCTGATAATGAAGACAAAAGACTTCCTCGTGTATTGCAGTACCTATAGAATTCTAGTCTTCGTTTGTGATTATAATATATAATATCATGGAAAATTTTAATTTTAATTCAAACGACCATTACATCGAATTGATAATGTCACATGTGATTGATAAAATACATAAGAGAGTCATAAGACATTTAAAAGACAAGTCACGGAAAAGTACTAGGAAGAGTCAGATTTGTTTTTCTCGGGATTTTTGAAACATGGTTATTTATAAAACTATCTATTCCTTAGCATCGAGAATAAGTTAAGCAAGGGAAAGTCTCCAACTTTCAGTTACTACCTACTTTGTCGCGAAGTTTCGTGGGGTAGCATAATTTGGGCGTGAGAACTAGTCACGAATGGACCACCTTGTACCTTTAAATGGCGAACATCTGGAAACGATTTTCATGCCGTAAAATTCCAAATACCTACCAATTCCAAGTATCTATCTACCTGCTGACCGTGCACAATCTTATGTATATCAGTATGACCGTAACAAGAATTTCCAAGCATCATGCACTGTACCTGACTTAATTTGCACGTTATTGTTGCACGTAGATATAAGAAAGATTGAACAGTACTCTCATATAATATACGATTGTCGTAACAAATAATTAATTTTGAAGTTATCCGCAGAAAAATTTTCTACAAACACACTTTGGTGGCCTCTGGTGTTCGTTTAAAAAATATTTGACCTCGAACAATAGAGGGAAACCGGAAGAATTTATGTGGAGAACAGCGGAAACTTACCCTTGGGCTCGCTGGTAGTTAAAGAAGTGCAAATAAATGCACACCTTTACACAAATCCGCGAACACAGTTGCACTTATACTGTAAGTAAGGCAAGGCATTCGTATAACGTAGCCAGTTGCTGCTGTGCGCAGGAGTAATAAAAAGAGAAGTACAAGAGGAGAGGGCCGTTGACAAAGAGAGGCGGCAACGGAAGCAACGCCGGGGACATATTATACGCGTGAAACAGAACAAGAAGGAGAGAATGGTACATACGCGCGTATGCTTGTGTCAGTAAAATTATGGTGGGGATAGTTACATAGAGTTGGGACTAGGCGTGGTTCCAACTGACCAATCGGAGCAGTAGGCGTTATCTAGACGTATAACAATGCTTCGTGTAATACATAGTTTCAGTGGTGCTCAACTATTCTCGATTCAACGTTCTGGATCGCGAACGATTTGCAGCATCTGTAAAAGCCTTCTGTTTTCATCGTAAACGCACGATCGATCGAATAAAAATTGAATTTCAATTGATATCAATTATTTTAAGAGCGAAATCTATTGCGAACAGTGTGTTATAATTTTCGTAGTATCCCGCTGAAAGCCTTTATCAGTCGACGGTGGGATGAAACTGGCGCTTAAGTACCGCCTACGTTAGAAATCATTGACACAGGCGCAACTCGTGAGGTTATGCGGCTGCGTTGGTACGACGAAAGTTTTTCCAGAATCCGGAACGATAGAAGGAGCCAGAGAATCAAAGAGAAACAGAGAGATGACGAGAGAGAGAGAGAGAGAATGGGAGGGAGAGGGAGAGGAAAAGAGAGATGGAAAGGGAGGCGCGAGCAGAGAGAGAAAGATGGAAGAAAGGGTAGCAAGTTGGAGGAATGCTGGTCTACGGCTCGGTGGGGAGTTCAGCGTGCACCGTGCATCCAGTTGTATACCTAAATGCGTACGGCACTGTTTTAATAGTACACACGCGTAGTCACGGCCCAATGAATTGATCCCGCGAGGTGCATCCCCCGGATAAAAAAGATGTCGCGCTATCTTTGAGGGCACTCCCGCTTTCGGAGGGCTAGCGCGCGCATTTTCGATCGTCCATCGTTAACCAGCACATATCTTTCTCTCAAAGCAGACGCGCGTGTTTAAAACAAGTTCTAATTTAAAAAAAAGGAAAGGAATGAAGGGAATTTCTAAATCGTAGTTATAAATCATTTAAAATTTGCCACTAAATTAAATCAGAGCCAAATATAGCACGACCGATCGAACCAACTAAGACCGATGAAAAAATACAATTTAATTATCGGTAAAATTATAAAGATACTGTAATATACATACACGTAATACGTAACGAAATGATTGTTATTTGAGATTGTTTATAATAACAAGTATCGTTCAAGTGTCACTTTCGTCGCGTCTTCGATGCGCTATAATCGAAAACGGGGGCTTCCGGTTATGTTCGTTGAAGTTCCGTCGGGTGAAAATGTGCGCGAGAAAAAGTGAAAGATAATTTTCGTCAAGACGTTGCCAAGATTTTTGTCGAGCTCACCCAACACGAAGAACTTTCAGTGAAGAGGATTGTGAAAGATCTCTTCCTTTTGTAATTTCTTTTTTTTTTTTTTTTCAATTTTATAGAAAATTTCCTACTAAACGTTCATAGGACGGGACAATTAACAATGGACAGTGTAATGTAACGATGTAGCCGGTAGAATTGCTTGATTCGTAAAGAGATTAATAATAATATTCGATGGAATTCTGTGAACGATTGAAGTGTATCAAGTACCGACGGCTTGATCAAAGTGCTCGCTCTTTGAAACGTCCCTGCTGCCAAAATCACTTTCGCACCGAGGGTGACTAATTGACTGTTTCCCCGGTGAAACACCGGTGAGAGTATGGGTTTATTTGAAGGTAAGTAATCTGCCACGTTTACTTACATACTTTTGCATCTGAATTGATAGGTAAATAGTTGTAAGGTAAGTACGAAATATAATTACGAATGTAATGAAAGAGAGACGATTCAATAATATTATTTGCCTGTTGTTTCTTTGGTTGCAAATTTTCGTTACCTTTGATTTGCGAAAGACGGAACCGTTCAATTCAAATTCAAAGCTGCAAATTACACCTGAAAATCCAAGTGCCTTCATGCATTATGCCTTTCGCAAAATTTCAAATTTTTTTCCCAGCGAGTTCGATTACATTTCGATACGTTGATACGTATCTTCCGAGGGCGTAACGTGCGAAAAAGGGGTTGCGAAACAAAGAAAAGACTACTGAAAGTCAAATCGCAAAGCATCTATACGAGTGACGTCGATCGTTTCCAATCGTACAAACCTACGTTCTCATTGTAAAACCTCGATCAAATCGTAACGATTTATATGCACAGGTGTAATTTGACTCTATAGTTCGGATGCTGGTAAATTGTTCGTCTATATCCGTCGAATGTATCCCAATATTACATTACGGAACCCGCATGCTGTCTCTTGGGAGATTCAAGAATCACTGTTACATCCCCTTTCTCGATAACTTCCTTGAGAAATAATCAATATCCAATTTTCTGCAATTTCCACAATTAATTGAAAAATTCTCAACATCGTAGTATCTTTCATATCTGTTCGATTTTATGATAAGTCGAGTATGTCGTGATAAATCAATTATTTTTTTACAATATCGACGCCGCTAATTTTCTCTCGCGAATCCATCAATTTTCCTCAACCTGTTACTTTGTAAACTTAACACAATCCCAATTGCACATCGCTCAATTTATTTCCCATGCTTGTTCTCCGATCAATGAATCGAGAACGCGAAACGTACGCGATAAATTAACACGTAACAGGCGCGCGTGTCAGTTTTCACGCTTGTTCGACGTTCGTTCTAATTGCTTAAATATCCTGTTGCGTCTTTTTCGAAAACATCTCCCGATGGAAAGAGAAAGGGAAAGGGGTCGAAATCGAGTTCCGATACTCGTCGAGACGAATAAACCTAGGGTATCCTATTTCAAGATCACCAGCGCATAGGTGCAACGAGATGCGTCCCGTTTTCGGCGAGTTTTAGCGCTGCTAAAGTAAATAGGAACGCGTGTTACGTGCGGTGAAAAAGGGGCGCGGCGTGCCGTTTCCTAAAGTCATTTGTAAGGAAAATGTCCGGCTCTCGAACGTGAGTCTTTTCCGTGTTCGTCTGCTCGATACCCTTCCGTAGCTCACGAAACAGAGAGAACTTATGTCTCCGCGCAGCTGTCGCGTAAATCTCGCCGGAGACCCGTCGCTGTTCTCTCTTCTTTCTCTCTTTTTCCTCCTCCTTCACAGCTATCGCGTGTTTTGAACATTTTTTTTCTTTTTTCTTTTTTTTTTTTTTTGGTGCCATGTATCATTCGTAATGCGGAGATTTGTATGTGCGTGAAGGTGAAACATTTTTGGGAATTTTTTTTATCTCACTAATTACGTGGTTGTTGTGGAATAGGCTCTGAAATTCGAGCTGGTTTAGTTAATCCAAGTGAAAGAGATGTTTGTTTTTTTTTTCTTTTCTTTCATTTCGTTTAAATTATTTTAGGATACACGAGATGACGAAGGAGTTACTCTTACGCCCGGACTTTCACGAATCTACGATCTTCTAATCTTTATCGGAAAATAACAAAGGCTCGAGTTAGAGCCAGGACAGATTCGGATTGTTTGTTTGTTTTCGGTGAGAAAAACGTATTCATTGAAACGACGCCTCAAATGCGGAACGACACAATGCCGATTAACACTGTTGCTTTGAAAATGAAACGTTTCTAAAGTAACTAATAATAGTAAGATTGTAAAGTCTGCGCGAGAGCGCAACGTGCAACATCCTGGCACGTGCGTAAACATCACTTAGGTAACTCTAACTTTCAACCTCGCGACACAATAGTCTCAGGCATATTCGTACGTTGCAAATGGAAATTCCTGGAAATCTAAAAACGACAATTTCAACAATAATATCGCTTTCACGACCTTATCCATTGTTACTAATAAAGAAGAGAACATCCAGTACCAATTTGTTCTAGCGCGTACGCGTTTCGATTTACTTTGCCGCAGAACAGTTCTAAAATTAAACTCGCGCCAAAAATTTATTTAGTCTGTCGCTGTTGCTGCCGCTGCTATCGGAAACAAATCAAATTTGTCGACGTCGTTAAATCACGGCTCGGCCGTTCAACGGCCGAGACCGAGAGAGCAAATACAGAGGCCCATAAAATCGCGTTCCTACACGCATCACTCCCCGTGCACGAGTTGCCCGAGGTCCAACCGTTGTCGACGAATTTTTATGCCTGCTACCTCTCCCTTGTTTTTCTCTCTAGACTCTTTATTCGTAAAAGAAAACTTTGTTTATAAAACCACGCGCATCGTAGACGTCATTTATAAATTATTTGAGATTTCCCACTTCGTAACACAAAGATGCCCTCTGTTTCATTCTCAATCGAGCATCAGATTCTATAAAATCTGATCGACAAATTTTTACCATTACCAGAGTAAATAAATTTTATCAACGCGTATTTTGATTTTTGTTTGACAATGTCTGTTAAAGTTTTGATAGAAGTTTCGAATCGCGAGAAGGTTATAATGATCGTGTAAATATCAACATGTAAATATCAGTACAGAAATATCTAACTCAAAAATATTAGACTTATCAGCACGAAGAATCTATTTTTTAAAGTTAGAATATCTATAACGGTTCGCCCACTTTTTCATCCTAGTAAGAAGTTCTAACGCTCGATCATAGTTATCCTTGACCAATGTTTAGCTTCCTACGAAAGCGGTTGACGTCGATCCGTAACAGTATTCAAAATACAAAACGTTACATAAATTCATCTAAGTCGAACGACCCTTGCATCAAATTGATTGGCTGTAACTCGTCAGTCAAAGTCTATAAAGCAGGCCCGCCTGGGAAGGCAAATAGACAATAGACGATAGATACACGGATAGATAGATACACGATCTTATTATACTAGCAGAGAACAACAGTCAAAATTGCAGATACACTTTCGTCACAATCTAAAAAGTTACAAATCAGAATCGATCACCAGCTATGATAAACGCGTTCCATCTCAACGTCTGTACGAGATTAAGTTTGAGTACAGACAACCAACCGAGTCAGTTCCAACCGCAAAAAGGTGCGTATTATCTCAACAATATCAGTTAGTTGTTAGAATCGTATTTTTGCTACGCTTGGAAAATAATGGAAAGAATGGGAAGACTCGTTCTCACAGCAATTCCATACCAAAGATTTTCTTGCAATATTGAAAATCATGTTCCTTTTCCCCAGCTAAAGACAAGATTGAGAAATATATGTATGTATATATCTTGATTTCTCCGTTGTTTAAAGAGGAAACGGAGGCGCGAACGTATGAAAAGCGATCGCCATCATTTTCCGGAGGGGTTTCCGACTAGGATCAGAGAAGCCGCAAAACTGTCCAGCTGTTACACGGTCGTTTTAGTAGGCGGATAGGTGAAAATGACTTTAGCGCTTCGACATGTGTAGAAACACGACATCCGATACTTCCTTGCCGGACCTCCTATTGCGGTCAGTGTTCGTCCGATCGAGATTTACGATGTTGCATCCTCCAAATGACGCGAGATCGCTGTTACACGCATTATTACGGTCATTTATTCATAGCGCAACAAGTAAATAAATTTCGCGCGAAACTAGTCGAGAACTACCGTTCGTTCTGTACTTCTCCATCTCTTCCGCTCGCGTAATTATTCATCTCGTAATTGTGCTTTTTAACAGGTTTTATTCGCTTGTCTCTCGCTCTTTTTCCCTTTTTTTCTTTTTATTTCGAATTTTTGCATTTCTACCTTGCAAACGATTGTTCCACGGAAACGGAAGCAAAAATATGTTCGATCTAATTCCATGGCAAAATTGTAATAATTAATTCCCTTCGCGAAAAGGATAATGTTTACAACTGCGAGTGATTGCAACATTTTGAACGAAACATTACAAAAGAGAGTAACGCAATAGAAACGAGCTTCTCCTCTTAACAAACGAGCCATGAATAATGCAATTGGCAGTGAAAAACACAAAGAGAATGATACGGTCTTCCGCAATAATTAGACTTCGTTTTTCCTTGAAACACAAAGAGTGGAAGATAGAAAGAAGGAGGGGCTTCGTTCACGTGAAATCTGTAACCATTCTCGTGCATGTAATTCCCACATGACTAAAATGAGGACTCCGTGGTGGGGGGATATGTAACATCGGGATCCTGAGTCAAGCACGAAGTTTAGTTTTGCTTACGACAACCTTAAGTCCCGCCGTCCTCTCTTGTCCTCTGACCCCGACTCGCCGTGAGTCGAAGAAATGATATTGAGTCGTTACCTTTTTGAAAATTTTGTGCCTCCTCACGCCACTACGATCGACTTGCCACTTCGTACTTTCATATTCGAGTAAGCAGAAATTTGGATAACACTGAACGCGCTATGAAGAGTGAGTACCTATTATTTCAACTTGTTGCAATTGTATCTACTTCCACTCTTGAATGTTGAAAATGGCACAAAGTGTAGCCATTCTTTCTGCTACATTCGTTAAAGGGAACAATTCTCTTTCAATGTACATTTCTATCTCACAAATATGTTCACAACTCGCGGTTTATTGAGATTCCATTCGCTTTCATCTCCTCAAAGGAATTCCTCCCGGCAAACGAAAATCATTCGTGGCAATTTTTCTCTTTCCCTGGCAACGGCCGCGTTCTTCCGCTTCTCGAGCTACGACTTCCAATAATCCTGCTAAATTGCTAGGCCGTTCGGTCGAAGTTCGACTATCCGTGTATCGGGTTGGCTTAGTGAAACGGAAGAGAAATCGTTAAATAAAAGCGGCCACGGATCCGAGGGCCGAGGGAACGTGGCGAATAGTAAAAAAGAGCAACGTGTCTCGCGGGTCGTCACGGCAGGCAACCCCCA